TATTAATGGACGCAGACACAAATGTGGTGGCTTGTATACTAGACCCCTCTCAAAATGCGATATCGCCGTCGTTAAAACAAGTCTCAAAAGCGCGATTACGTCCTAAACAACATATCTAAATAGCAAGCCTCAACTCGCAAAATTGAGGGAGCTACGACCAAAAATGTGGCTGGTCATAACAACCTGTCGCGTACTGTATAAAAAATTAAAATGTATAGATAAATGGAATTCATCGTGCAGAATGAACAAAGTCTAATTTAGAAATTATTTCAAAAGATGTTATAAGCGATTGTATTGATAAACAGTCGCAATGGAAGCTCTAGATGCTCGCGTCGGGGAAGTTTTGGGGAATACTACAGCTCGTGCTACCAAATACGTGTACATTCGCGCGCTGGCTCACTTTGTGGATTGGCTATATGGTCATACAGATGGCAGTCATCGTGTGGTGCTCTTCACGCGATCATTTCTTGAGCTTGAACAGATTAACAACGACACAATTACTCAGTGGTTTGACCGAGTGCCTCTTACAAGTCCAATCAACCTTAGTGTGCTAACTACTAAGGACTGCATGCGCTACCTTACTTTGCTGGAGCAACGAGGCGTCTCGGGGAAATCAACTTTTGGCAATGCTCGCTCTGCGTTGGTGTATTTGTACTCTATGACAGAGCTTCCTCGACCTTCGGACTCTGACACTCAAATGAGGTGATTCTTCAAAGGATTTTACCATACGGTAGCACAAGTGGCCCAAGGCAGTAATGAACGCCTTCGCGAGGATAAGGAGCCCTTTTCATTCTCGATGTACAGAGTTGTTGCAAAATCACTGATCCAGTCCAGCTAAAAGGAGGATATATTCGGCCACTCATTTTTGTTGATTTGTTGGAATTTGATGTGTCGAGCAAAAGCACAGAATCGATTAGGCATGCCCATCTTTCGTGGAGTGAAGACTCAGTGGCTATAACATTTGCAGACATGAAAAACGATCAAGATGGTAGTCGTCCCCGAGACCCTTGACACGTATACGCCAACCCTCTAATGCCCGAGATCTACCCGGTGTTAAGTTTTGGAATGTATTTTGCGGTTCTTGGATTTGCTAGTAATGGCAAGCTGTATCCCGGTGGAAACCAATGTAGTCACTTTTTCAAGTTGCTAAAACGTGTATTAGGCAGACAGGGAGTCGAAGATGTATTGGTCGCAAATGGAATGACTACAAAAGACTTTGGAACGCATTCTACTAGAAAAGGTGCCGCGACGTACGTTAGTAGTTGCTCTACTTCTAGCCCCTCAGCTGCCTCAATTTGTCTTAGAGCTGGTTGGACCCTGCCAGGTGTTCAGGACAAGTATGTAAGATTCGAAGCTGCCGGTGATATGGTAGTTGGGCGGTATGTTACTGGTCTCCCATTTGATTCACCGGAATTTGCTATTTTGCCACCATTCTTTGCTCCTCTAAGCGATGATGAAGATGAGCGATTAGATTTACAGCAGCGGCTTCGTGTTGTCATGACGACTGTAGTTCCGGGTGTACCCTCATCGCTGCGAATAGTTTGCCAATTTGGGCTAGCTTCCATACTTTATCACAAAGATTTCCTGAGTGAGCAGCTACCAGGAACTCACGTGTTGTTTTCTACCTCTCTATATGCAGCACAAAATCAGCCACTGTTTGAGTGGCTCCGACAACGCGTTGTGTGTCGTATTTTCCGAGTTAATGATCCTATCAGTCCATCGGGAATTCCTCCCCATGTAGGAATTATGGTTACCTTATCGCAGTACAAGGTGGGACTTGCTGGAACGTTCGAAACAATTCTGAAAAAGTATGTGCACGGCTCTGTGATGACCATAGAGGCTATAGAAATGACTTTGCATTGGTCATTGCTCGGTCGAACTTGGCACTTGGCGATCAAGGCGCGAGACAGACGCCTCACCACAACATTGGCGCCAATTCAGCGGCCACGTCCCAGATAGACCTTCAGCTATGGGAAGGTAGCTTTCACAGGGTTGCTGAGGGATTTACGTTCCCAGCAGGAACGATTCAGGTGATATGGTAGCACTGGTGTGCAGGGAATCCGCCATTACGATTGCTGGGGAAACATGATATGGCTACCCGCGTTAAGAAGGTCCGACTGGCCGAGCTTCAACGCCTGATGCATGTTGTCGAAGCCCTGTTATCGCAAGAAGATATTCGGCGAGCTTATGCCTCCACCAGCGCCGCTGGTCTGATGTACACGCAGATAAAACACCGTCTTCCTTTCCCAACCTCCTCTATCAAGGGAAGAGAGCGAAGGTTAGAGCATTTGTCCTGGAAGACATTAGCTAGAGAGCTTAAGTCACAAACAACGCTATGAGAAGATGCTAACAGTCATTTCTATTTACTGGATATATGAAACGCTTCGTGCAAAATGCACGAAGAATTCATGTGAATGATTGCATTTTGAGGTGTTATCTTACGCTTAGTATACCTGACATTTTTGCATTTAAGGAATTCTTCGTTCAATCTGCACGATCCGTAGAAATATAAATTCCAAAACGTTTTGCATTATATTTTAAAATGTATTTTCAAAAAGTAATAAATATTGGATTGGCTATTATAAATAAAATTGATTTATTTATATCTGAACAAAATTAAATTTAAAACGATTGCTGTTCCTGCAAAATACAATATTATTGTGCAAATCAAATTGAAGAAGTACAATTTGGTCGTGTAAACTTAGGCAAAAATCTCTCTGGACTATTTTTTTCGGGGACCCGCTTTTTGGTTTCAGTATGCTTCTCATATAAAATCCCACGCGGGACCCGCGTCGGTTTGTATGCGTTATGGTGCTAGTGTCTACTTCTACGAGTCGACATCGGTACAAAACAAAACGAAGTTTTTAGTGTGTTTTTTTAAAAACAATACCCCAACTAAATACTAAAGAAATGTTCTACTCCTGGAGTTGTTTCTTGTCCGAGATCATGGGAGAACGCAAAGTAGAGTCACGCGGTAGACTCATCAGAGCACTCCAGCCGGTACGACCGGCCGAGTGCTTATAGCCGTAGCAAAAGTAGAAGATAACGCTCGCTGCCAGCCATGCGCAGCTCGTGTAGATCCCCGTGTAGCTGATCTGGGCAGCTAAGTAGAAGTTGGCCAAAATGGCGACCGTGGGGAGGAATGGTACGAACGGGGCCGTAAAGTTATCACCGCTCTGGGGCTCCTGTGGGCACTTGAAGAACATGACGAAGCACACAATGACTGCGAGCACTAGGAAGACGATGCCCAAGACTAGGCACCACGTGTGACTCTCGTTCGAGTATCCGATCTGATAGAAGAAAGCAGCGAGCCACGCAAACGCCACCAAGAGACCGATGAGCTTTGGCGCAAGCGATGGGGACTCCTTCCTCATTCGGACCATTAGAAGGGATGACATCGACATGTTGAACGATAGAAGGATGCCGAAGCTGACGATATCCCAAAGCGTGTCGAACGGCACCACGAAGGCCACAACCGTGAAGAAGAGACCAGAGATCAGCGTGTTGGCGAACAGGTTGCCCTTATCGTCGACCTTAGCGAAGATACGGGGCATCAGACCATCACACGCTAGGGCGTAGTTCAGACGCGGCTGGGCCAGGAAGCTGACCAGCACCACGACGGGCATCGTGCACGTCTCACCAGCACGCACGATCTGAGAGGCCCAGTGTGCGCCCTGGTACTCGAAACCAGCACCAAAGCTTTGAGCCTCAAGGTACGGGATCATACCCGACAGTACTAGTGACGCGAAGCAGGATAAGAACATGGTGCCTAGCACCACGCAAATCACAGCCAGCGGCATGACCTTCTTGGGGTTCTTAGCCTCAGCGGCCAGACAGCAAACCTCATCGAAACCAATGTATCCGAAGAAGGCCGACGAGGCACCAGTAATGATTCCCTGCGTACCGAACGTCATCGTTCCGTCCAAATCCTGGCGAGGTGGGACGAAGGGCGAGAGGTTGTCCGAATCCATGAAGGCGAAACCAGCGATGATGATGAACAGCACCACAATTACCTTGATGGAGCTGAAGGTGTTGACGAAGAATTTGCCAAAGCGAACACCCATCAGCAACACACTCACACAGAGTGCCATTAGCACAGCACCGAGTAAATTAGTGTAGTCTTCGTTCAACCACTGGTAGGTGTGTTCCGGGTGTTCATCCACGAGCCATTCCTGGACTTTGGACGCCCAACTACGGGCGACACCTGAGCCGGAGATACCGTACTCGAGCGTTAGCAACCACGCTGCGATGACGGCCGGTAGCTCTCCGAGTGCGTAGAATGAGTAGGCGTACGTACTACCCGATGATGGTACGCGTGTAACCAGCTCCATATAGGCCAGAGCGTTGATGCAGCACACGACACCAGCAATGATCCAGCTCACGAAGGCAGCGGGGCCAGCCGTGCCACTGATAATGTCGCCGGTTGTGGAGAAGACACCGCTACCGACTGTGCCACCAATGCCAATGCACACCAGATCGAAAAGGGACAATTGACGAGGTAGTTCTTCGGCAGCCTCCTCGGCTTTGATGACCGCGAGCGGCTTCGTGCGTAGGACGTTCTGCATGAAGGTGGGCTTGATATCCATGGTGGACGATGTAGAGTTCTTCGACAGGAACAATGTTCGGTTGGTAGAGTGCCCCCCACTGCGACTTCCACGGCGAATTGAAGAATGAACGGAATCAAGCAAAAGACTCGTTAGGGAGACCAACAGCAAACAGCAGGGTGCAAGATGAGGGTGCGCCTGCCGAGCGGCTCCGTTTGACGCGTCTTTGCCTCAAGGAGATGGACAACAGAGAGCTGATGAAGGGAGTCGCGTCAAGCGAGCAGCGATGCCGCTGCTGGCCTTTCTCGCCAATCGGACAACCCACTGCTCACAAAGGACCAGCTGACGGGCCTCACCGCCCTACCCACCCGAGCAAAGTGTTCGCTCTCAGCTTGGCGAGCTCATTCGTTGTCGGGGTGAAGCAACCAAAGCGAAGCAGTCGAGGTTTGTTGCATGCATGGCTTTCATCATAGTTCTTGTCAGGTTGATACGGTTCCGAAAATCAGTGAGGTGCAACTCGCTTCAATCTAGGTTTCAAGCTGAAGTTGTGTTTACAGTGGTTAAATTCAATTACCTGCAGAAAAAGGGCTACCTGGTTAAACGCGATAACAAATTTGAGTCGCTTTTCAGCATCAATTCGATGCCGAGCTAACTGCTTGAGCGACGTCCACAGGCTTCAGCTCCACATTTACACGCAAATGAACATGCACTTATCAGACACACTAACAATATACGAAAGCAGCTTCGACGCAGTCATCGTGTCCATCCTCGCCACGGAGATGCTCGCTCGTCGACGAAACCAGCTCTTTTTTTGAGGAGATCCGTCGACTTTGAATTCAGTAAGCAAGTCTTAGTTGCACAGTGCATTTGTTTGAAGCTCGACTAGGAAAGCGCCGCGTTGCGCTGCGTAGATGTATTCCTTGTCACGACAAATTGCCGGACAACAGATTTCAAGGCGGTGGCCGTCCACGGACACCAGCGTTCGTTTGCACAACGCTTCCGTGCGCAGCGGCGGTACGGAGATGCTCGGACCGTCTGCGCATCCCTCGTATCAAATGTATCGGGAACGCTATGAGAAGGGCGATTCCCTTGACGTGGTGCTGGCCAATATGGCAGCGCCGCCAAAGCACCGGCAAGCCGATCGTCAGTTGCGTCGTGAATTCTTGGAATCCTGCCACAACCAGTGCCGCAAAGCGTTGACGTTGAAGTGCGTCGTTGCAGTGCCGCTTCAGGCAAAAGTTTCGTAGTCTGCACTTCGCTAGTCTGCGTTTCGCTAGCCTCATCCAGCCTTTCCGCTGATGAAGGTGAGACTCACTTACATCTCTCCGGCTCTTAGTCAGAATGTGAGCGGCCAGATAAACTCGGCAACAACCATGACAAGTGCCGACGTGGGCGAATCAGATCGACTTCAAGCGCTGGCAAAGATGGTGCATGGTGAAGCGGTCTGCTTGAAATGGAGACCAACATGTGGCTTCGTAGTGTAGTGTCACCACTGGTGCGGCTCTGGCAGTGCTTGGTCGTCTACATGCCTCGTCAGTGACGAGCCGTCACCAAGCAGCATCTTCAGTGCCTCCCACGCCTACATATCGTGTCCGCAACTCGGTACCGCATTGCAAACTAACGATTGTGCAACTTCATGCCCCTTACCGAAGTTCTGGCTGCGCATGATGCTTGGCCAGAGATTTCCATGCTGCATGTGTAGGATTCGCTCGTTGCGAGCGAAAGCGCGAGACGATCGAATCGGGATGTCGGTGGACAAAGAATCCGACAAGCTGTTCAACTATTCAGGTTGGCTGGCGCTCATAGTTCAAATACTAGGATCATATTAACTCGGTTTCGGCAAGCGCTGCTCGTTGACATCACTTCTCCACATTGCATTCTGTTTTCTCTCCGTACCTGAACAAGGTTTCTATCTCTACAATGCAATTGATTCTTGCGGTTGTCCATTACGGTAATACTCTACGTGGAGTTTGGATCATGGATACTTCAACCAGTTTGTGTATTTGCGCCCACCTATTTGCTCAAATCACAAATTTTGGTCATTTGACAACCTTGCGGATGGAAAAGAAGCTGCAACTGCCCAAGCTGCCTCCGGGCGTCGTCGGTGCGCCTGTGCTCTCCGGGGCCAGCACGGCACTTGCTATTGCCGCCGGTGTCATGGCAGTCGTAGGGATGTCCACACTCCACAAGCGTGCGGCCACTCGATCCGACGCACACAAGAAGAACGGTTCCGATATCCGTGTTGGCTTGCTGCGCATGCACGTGCCGCAGAATTTCCGGGACCTGGTAAAGAATGACGTGCTGCTGGAGAAATCAACCGAGTTTATCTCGCAGACATTACTTATATTTGTGTCCGGGAGGGACAAACACGAAGTGGTTAACTACATTAGCGAGCTCTACGGCATGGCATGGGACGTCGCTTGTGCGCTTGGCAAGCCCTTCCTGGACATCCGGTAGGTGCCTCAACTCGCAATTATTCCAGTGTTGTGAGTCATTGATGCTTAAAATCTTGCACCAAATTGCAGGATTGTGGGTGGCGGGGTGTCCAAGGACAGCAAGACGTGGGAGGAGTTGGTGCTGCAGCCAGACTTGAACGCGGTGTTCGGCGAGGACGCTCTGGTGGACGTGCAACGTCTTAACGTGCAGCGCTTCGAGCGCGACGGACTGTTTGCAGTCACTTACCATCCATTGGCGATGCATGTGGAGAGGAGGCTGGCAGCCGACATCAAGTACTTTGAGAATGAGCACGCGGACCTAACGCCACACGATCTGGTCATCCTGGGAGGCACGTTCGACCACTTGCACAATGGACACAAGAAATTGCTGTCGTTGGCTGTCAGCATCTGCGCCAACCGCATTCTGGTGGGCGTTACAGCAGATAATATGCTGAAAAAGAAGTCGCATGCAGAGTTGCTGGAGCCCTTGGAGAAGAGAAAGAGTGCCGTGCGCGACTACATTGCATTCCTCAACCCGCAGATCACTGCGGACATTGTGACGATTGAAGATCCATTTGGTCCAGCCATCGTCGTCCCAGAGCCAGCAGCTATGGTTGTGTCCACCGAGACGCTCCCGGGTGCTTCCAAGATCAACAGCATTCGCGTGGATCGCGGACTGCCGAAGCTCCACATCTTTGCGTGTCGGCGTACAGAGAGCAGCACTCTTAGCTCTAGCTGCATCCGCCAAAAGATCGCAGCTTCTCGAAAGCATTAGAGTGTCGGAAAGACTATTTGTTGAAATGAAGTACAACAATGACTATCGCCTCGCTCAGCAACATGATATTACTACAGGTTCACACAACGAGACTGATTGTAGGACAAGAAACCCCACTACCGAGCTGCTGCTAACGTCCGAGTACTGTTCGCTTGTCTACTTGGTTGCAGTCTCCGTTTTCCTTCATGCATTACATGTACCTACTTCCTTGCCTCCTGCTTCATCTCTCTTCCCCGAATGACAAGACAATCCGCGCTACCGTATCCTATTATAAGTGTGGGGTGGGATCCAGGCCGCTGCCGCCAACGGGGGCGTCGGAAGGTGGTTGTATTAACCCCAAACTTCGCTTCAGAGCAGTGATGTCCACTTCCAACGGTACAACAAAACCATTGATCCGGAACGGAATCGTGTGGAACACGGGCTCATCAGCGCTTCCGTCCAATTGCAGCTGGTCTCCGGCCGTCGCAGTTGTCTGTTTGCCGCGCGCTACCTTTCTGGGTCGGTCATTAGCCTGAATACCTTCGTCACGCGCTCCGTTCTTGTGGCCCGTCCTAATACCTGCAGTCTTTGCAGCACTGCCACCAGGTGTGAGCGATCCGTCGATTGACATGTCTGCGTAGCTCTGGATGAGAGGGAATCCGGCCGTTGCTGCCTGGCCAAACGGCATAAAGGACGGGTTGGGCGACGCTGAAGCACCGGGCGCGCCGTTGGGCACGATCGAGTCGACGCCGCTTTCCGCCAGTTGCTGCTGTTGCTGCTGGAACATTTTCATGGACAATCGCTTCTTGTCCTTCTTGGTAGTCGTGTCCACAAAGTAGCAGAAGACCTCGTACTTTAGCTCCACTTTCATACTACGCGCCACTTTCCAGCGCACTCGCAGTAGCGGATCGAAGTTCTCTTTGGTCAGCTGTACGTACTTGGATTGAGTGGCGTTGCTGCTCGGCTTCAAGTAGATGGCACGTCGCTCCTGCACGTAGTTGGGGTCCAGTTTGCTGTAGTGACGCTCTACTTTGCTCTGGAACACGCCAAAACCCTCGTCCGGAATAAACGGGATGAGGATCTCGTCATGAAGCTTCTTGCGCACAGCCATGAGCGGTTCGCCACACTTCATAGTGAGCACGGCCACGCATTCCTCGTGTTGCGGGAATGCGTCAGGCCCCGAATCATCCACGCGCTCCGTCACGAACTTGAGGTCGGAAGCGCTGGCCTCGTCCGATACCGGTGGATCGCTACCGTCTAAGCTAGACGCCGCGTGCATGGAAGATGGGGTAGTAACTTCCTTTGGGACGCTCTCGGGACACACCGAGAGGGACTGGAGGATGCTGGACAAGGTAGCCCCTGGCGCGCGCTCTGGAGCTTTTTGAACTTGTTTTTGAGACCGGTTCAAAGTTGCGTGAAGTTATGTTGCTTGAAACAAAAATTCTGGCAACATTGCGCGTTTCTATGCTGCGGTCCGTATAGCAGTTATTGTGAATTCAGTCCAAATTTGCCAATTTGGGTCTATTTTTTTTTGAAATTTTGAGTAGAACTCACAATAAAATGAAGAAGAAGAAACTTCATCTCCAGCTTGCGGATTTCACTGGCATGCAGGGCTCCCGTACAATACAAAATGATATACATTCATGTACATTAATATGATCCATTAATGGCCATTATGTATGGGTGTCTTCTTGTGCATAACGTATTCGTGACTCAAAAATGAAATCCGATTAATGCCATTATCGGGAGCCCTGCCGACATACCCCATAGAATCTTTACAAAGCTGCGACTTCTTCTATGGGGCTCAAATTTCAACAACCTCGACCAGTTCTGGTACTTGGTGACAGCATTTCGTCAAAGGTATGGCGCGGTAGCATACGTTTGCCCGCTCAATTTGTGTGGTGTGCTCGCAGTTACCGTTAACGGAAGGAGGCAGTACATATATTGGTGATTCCATCTTCGACGAGAACTGGTAGGCAAGTCACAACGGCATTTGCAAGACGAGTTCGTCTACCTCTGATTAGGATACTATTCACAAACGTATCACGCTCCTCTGACCGACCGCCAGGATCACCTTGGCTCTAATAGACTACAGGTAGACGTCAATCCGCTGTGGTGAGATAGCAGTACACCACGTATGGGAGCAGCTCACTGCAAATGCATGACCACCGTACGTTGGTCGTGCGCCAGATATCAACTTCCGTCCGGCCAGGCACTTGGACACCCGGATCAATGTGAAATACATTGAAACGCACAAAGCTTGAAGAGCTCCAAGTCCTATTCTTTTTATGGATCCTACGATCGAAAAGCTGGGATCACTCGTCACATGCGTGAATCAGACTTTCGCGTACTTGTAATACAAGTACATGCATCAAGGCCTTTGATACACATTATTTTTTCGCTACTGGTAACACGACACTCTGACTTCCGTTTTGTTACGGTTGTGAAAGCGAATGCGCACCTTTCACTCGTGCAAAGTGCCGCTGCAACTAGCCCCAACGTGCAAAGTTTTACAATACTTTTTGAAGTACGTATTACAGGCACACCAGTAAGCTGTTAAGTTAAAAGCTTAAAAGCTTTAACGTCAATTGCACTGGCAGATGCCAGCGTGAGCCCTTCTTCGGGATAGGCACCAGGTGGCAAGCGCGAAAGCGCCTAACGTTAAACGCCATGCACGTGTATTTGCATCATCTTGGTAATGCACGTAGACCGCATTTCGCACAGGCACCCAGCCATTACTGTAGCAAGGTGTTGAGAATGCAGCAAGAAAAAAAAGTAAGCAAGACAGGAGAAACCCGAGTCTCTCGAATTGAGGCTTCGTTAGCAAACCCAGCTGCAATTCTGCTATCCCGAAGGGCTCACATACAAACGTTAAGCTAATCAAACCCAGTACCGTAGCATGCTGTCTTCCATGACCCTATTGAAATAGATTATATTTAACAGGTTATGCTACAACAATGGAATAGCACAATAACATTTGGTAAGCGTTCCAAGATGTCAAATAATCAGTTATACGAGGTTCTAGGTTATTGAATGTAATCTGTTTCTCAAATATACGGTACTTCTCGGTCGTCCCTTTGAGGTTCAAGCTTTGATGACCTCGACCACTGCACTTCCCAGTAGCTCCGTTCGGCCTCAGATCGCCTTCCATCCACTCGGCAGTGCACCATGATGTTCCCATTGCCGCTGGACTTCTTCCCTCCGCTGCGCCTAAGCAAGCAGGAGGCGCAGAGCTTCCTCCAGTGGGGAGACTCACTGCTGCAACAGACCATCGACGCGTATCACCGCGAGCAATTCGACACGCAGGAGACGCGCGAACGCAAGTGGAAGCCCATTAAGCAGAAGCACGATCTGATTGTCTACCGGCGACGTAAGATCAAAGATGACAGCGAGTTCAAATACCTTTGCACAGGCCGCATCGACGGTACGTTGGACGAGGTGGTCATGGGTCGCTACGCCGACAACACGCCCGACTTCCGGCGCATCTCGGGCGTCTACCGCGACGATATCGTGGACTGCGCCGTGCTTGGCGTCATCAAGAAGCGCACCCCGGAGGACCCGTTCTTCCTCTCGTGTTTCAAGTGGATGACGGTAGAGTCGCCCGGTAAGGGACTTGTTAAGAACCGCGACGTGTGCTGGTACGAACAGGTTGGCATGACGCGAGATCGCAACGGCAAAGAGATCGGATACACGCTCACCGAGTCGGTCGAACTACCTACTTGTCCGCTGTTCAATGAGTGCGTGCGTGCCAAGTTCTCGATCTGTTACCTGTACAAACGTAACAAGAGCGGAGGAGTCAAAGTCTACATGCGCGGCAAGAACGACGCAGGTGGTAAAGTCGTGGACTGGGTAGCCGACATGAAATCGGCTGAACTCTGGCTTCGTATCGAGCAGGCGATGCCTGTAGCACATGCAGTTATTGCCACAGCGTTGGTGGAGGCCGGCAAGCACACGGTACGTCCGTTCATCACACATGGAAAGTGCGAGGTGTGCCACGCCAAGGCCTCCGGCTTTTTAAGCTCATCCAAGCAGTGCGCTGTATGTCACCGGCTCACGTGCTCCAGTTGTGTCTCGAAAGTGCGTGTACTGAGCTTCCACGACTTCCGCGTGCCACACTATGAGCAATTCTGCAAGAAATGCATGCGGTTGATCCATCAGGTAGACCTGCGCGCGCCTGAAAGTGTTCGGAACTTGGTGGAGTACGCTTCTGCGTCGTTGACGGGGTCTGAGAGCTCGCAGAGCAGCTTTATGAGCTCAACACGAGGCAGAGCAGCCACGGACGACAGCGGTGAGGGTGAGAACCAACATGCAGCGTCTGCGTCGAGCAGCCACAGCAGCAGTAGCGGATCATTCCGCACACTGCCACAGCCTGTCATTGGCGTGAATCGCCAGGAAGAGGATGAGGCTTATTATTTGGAGTCTGGTGCAGCAGCTCCGCTTCCGAAACATCCTGGACAGCCCACACACAACACTCAGGTGAAGCCTGGTGCGTCGTCGATGCCTGCCGTGCCCGTAACCGTCTACCAGGAGCCGTCACCGCAAAAGACTAGTCGCAGTATGGACGCCTATGCGGGGAAGCGCACTGTGGTTAAACGCCGTCACAGCCACTCTCCACCTAGTAGTCCTGAAGACAATTACTACAAGGGACGAGACTCGGAAACACCAGTGACTCGAGGGTCCATGGCAGTAGCCAGACTAAACAGCGCGTCGTCACGACCATACAACGGCAGCTTTAACAGCAACGACGCAGACCCAGCGACGGACTCGCTGATGGCGCAGATTATCCAAATGAACCTCATCGCTGAACAATCTCGCCAACAGATCCAGGACAACATCAAGATGGCACGTCAGCTCAGCAATAGCCGTTCGTAAATCTGGGTCTGTACTGTACACACGAGGAGGCCAAGTACTGCGTCATTTATTTTGCTCTCTTAGAGCTGCCATCACTATAAACCTTATAACCATAAAAACACAAGAGTTTTTCACGCAGCTTTAGCTCAACATGTACGTGGCAGACTGGAACCATCCAGTGGGACGAATCTGCCGGACTTGGCGTTCAATCATGAGTTTCTGCAAGTGTTTTTCAATTGCCTTCTTCGCAGACAAGCGCAGCAAGAACGGCAGTGGCTCGTAGATTTTATCCACGATCTCCGACGACGACAGTCCTCCCCGCCTCTTGAGCACCTCCAGCACCTCGTACTCACGTTGCTGACGATGTGTTATATACTCCAAGATCTTGGCAGGTGCATTGTCCACTACAGGTCCATGTCCTGGGTAAATGGTAGTAGCACCGTACTCCTTTAACTTCGCTAGAGACGCCATGAGGTCGGCGAGCGAGTCAAACATACAGCTGCCAAAACCCAAGACGCAGTCTCCAGAGAAAAGCACAGGTGCCTTCAGCTCGTCCAACTTATCGAGTACGAAGCAGACATGATCATTGCTGTGTCCTGGAGTGTACACCGTCTTTAGAACGCCTTCACCGCCGGGAACTTTAAACTCCTGTCCGTCTTTTAATGCCTCAATCCCCAGTCGTCGACTCTCCTCGTTGCTCAATCTCAATCGTCGATCTCCGTCTCCATCGCCCTCTTTATTTGCATCGGGTAGATATTTCCACACCTTCATGGCGGGGAATCTCTGCTTTAATGGTAAAAGACCCCCTACATGATCTAAGTGTCCGTGAGTTACCAGCAAATCCGAGATCTCCTCCACTCCATGGCGTTGACATACTTCCAGCAACCTCTTCACAAACACCTCATTGCCGTCACTTGAGTCGATCAAAAACCTTCTCGGTCCACTGCCTACTATGTACACATTAGTACCTCGTAGTGTCATTCGACTGGGATTGTTACCCAAGACACGCAGCACTTGGCCAGGCAATTGGTCTACATCGGGAATGTTTGGTAGATTTCGTGAGACCCCGGAGATGCACAATATCAGCGAGTGCAGGCGCACATTGAGGTTGAAGCGTAGCAGAGTCAGCGTAGGGACGTCAGAGAGCCCCCTGCTGCTACGATAAAGCGCCAATGGACGCAGCAGCAGCCACGCACTGGCCGCGATCACGCTGCCGAGCAGTGCAGGGGTCCACATTTACGGAAATTCTGCGACGTGTGAAGGGAATCATAACAGTGACACGTCACTAATATGAGGCAGATCATTTTTCAGCCAGTCAAAACACACCATTGCTCCACTCGCTGTGGAGCGGAGTGTACGACGTCGCTCTCTCGATCGCTCGGTGTTCTGCGGCAGTCTGCGATGGGTCGTGGCTCTGCTCGTCGTGGAGGAGGCGGACGACGTGGTGGACGCGGTGGACGAGGGAGAGGACGAGGCGGAAGTCATGACGGTCCAGATTTCCGCGCCGCCGGCTACAACGATGGCGTCCCATGCAGTGTGGATGAGTCTGTGGTCGGTATCCGGCGCTTCTTGATGCCAGGAGTGGGTGGATTCCATGGCACCACCAAGCAGCGTTATTCCGACTTTGTAGTACGCGAGGTGGCGCTGGATGGACACGTGGTGACGCTGTCGGACGTCAAGCGGCTCGCTCCGGCCGCGAAGTCGCAGAAAATCAGTGAAGTTTTCAAGCACAAAGTGTTCGCTTTACTGAACGATGCAGCCAATGAGAAAATGGACATCCCAGCACCAGTAAACACTCTGGTTGGCAAACTATCGGGTAGACTGTTGGGCATGTTTAACGCCAATAAGAGAGCGAGACTACTGAAGGAGGAGAAGGAGAACGTGGAGAAGCTTAAAGTGGCGGTCACTGGAGTGTGTGGAGCAGTAACAGCTGAGAAATTGGAGCAATTTATGCTGAAATTGGTGGATACACAAGTGAAGGAGGAGGAAGCCAAGAGACTAGCGAACAACATTAACAAGAACAAGAGCAAAGCCGAGAAGAAAGAGGAGAAGATCTCGACTGATGAGGTGAATAATGAGACGGAGACGACATTCTTCTTCCCGCCCATTGAAGCCAAGGAGACGCGTGCAGCGGTGCATGAGCTGGTGCGCAAGTTTGGCAGTGGCATTGTTGTCTCAGACACGACGACTAACAGTGACGATGTGTCGGTGATTCGAGTTCGTCGTGTGATGGTTGGCGGTAAGAAGCGGAAGGATATCGACCAACGTGGAGGAAACAATGGCCGCATGTCATGGCCGAAGAACCGTCCTGATTACTTGCAGTTTGTGCTCTACAAACGCAACATGGAGACGAACAGCGTCATGATGCAGCTCGCTAAGGCCATGAACGCGAATGTTTCAGCTTTCACATATGCCGGTACGAAGGACAAGCGCGGTATCACGACACAGCTCTGCACAGTCTATCGCGGCTCAAAGGAGCGACTGGAGACGCTGAACCGTGCTGGTCGTGACCTCGACTCGTTCAACTTCCTCGTGGGCAGCGCTAAGTTCGTCTCTGAGCGTCTGAACCTCGGTGATCTACGTGGCAATCGCTTCTCGTTGGCTATTCGCGATCTTCCTGATGACGAGACCATCTCGGACGAGCAGATCCACGCCGCAGTACGCAGTTGGAGTGAACGCGGCTTCATAAATTACTTCGGTCTGCAGCGATTCGGTACCAAGGCCATCGCTACGCACGAGATCGGACGGGCTATCTTACAGCGAGACCACAAACGAGTGGTAGACTTGTTGCTGTCTCCGCAACAAGGTGACGCGACCAAGATCCGCGAGGCTCGTCAAGCTTTCCAAGACAACCAGGACGTCAGTGCAGCGCTCAAGGCGCTGCCTTCTTATCTGATCGCTGAGCGTGCTGTGCTACAAGGACTTGGCGCACACGGGTTGACGGCGTACGCCACTGCGATCCAGAGTATCCCGCGCCATCTCCGTATGATGTACACGCACTCGTACCAGAGTTACGTGTGGAATACCGTGGCTAGCGAGCGCTTGACGCAGTACGCGCCTATGGTCGGAGATCTGGTCATTCCTCACGATAAAATGACGGAGGAGTCTGTTGATGAGAGCGAGGAAGCCGACGATGCTGATCCTGTGAACAAGAAACCAAGGACGTCGGCGGAAGCTTCACGCTCTGAAGCAAATGTTACCGTAGTTACGGGCGAGAACGTGAGCCAGTACAGCATCTACGACGTGGTGCTTCCTTTGCCTGGTTACAGTGTCAAGTATCCGGAGAACGCATTGAAGCAGCGGTACGAGGAGATCATGAAGGCGGACGGTGTGGACTTCCAAGCTCTGGAGCGTGCAACCAACTCGGAATACCATCTACCAGGCTCCTATCGTCATGTGCTGAGGAAGCCTATCAATGTGGAGCATGAACTCAAGAGGTATAATGACCCCACGGTGCCGCTCCTCGAAACGGACGTTGACCGTCTCGAAGGCCGCTCCGCCCAGCCCTCCATCCCTGACGGCAAGTGTCGTGCTCTGTGCCTTGAGTTCCAGTTGGGTCCTTCCTCGTACGCGACCATGGCGGTTCGTGAACTACTCAAGCAGAGCAGCAACCTTGACGTGCAGCTGCAGTTGCAGCAGAAACTCGATGCTAAGAAGAGCACATAAGCAAAAGAGCGCTCACACTTGCTAGATAGATTTCCAATAGATGAAAGAAAATACGAATGCATCACCGTGCAGTGCGACTACTTAGATGCCATCCTCCCACTCGCGTCGTTCGATCTTGCTCACAAACCGGTTGCCGCCACTGCATGTCGACAAAGATACACGTTAGTAAGAGGCAACAGGGTTCAGCAGAAGGGCTAGCTCGTACATGTCTTCTCTCAAAATGCGCCAGTAGAATTCAGGGCGGGTTCCCTCCATAGCTTGTGTACGACTGAGCATCTGCACGAATTCTTCGTCGTGCGTAATGCAGACAAGCTGGAAGTTTTGCTGCTGCGAGCGCGCGTTCAGAATGCTACATCGACAAACGACAACAAGATACGTTAGAAAACAACAAAGCCTAGATCGCTAGGGTATGACCGAACGCACTCAGTGATCGCCTGTGCAAGTCCGAATTTGTTCTCCGTGTCAAGATTCGTCGTAGGTTCATCGAGTGCCAGGATTCCGCAGTTCAAGCAGAAAGTCTCGGCTAGAGCCAAACGGATCACCAAAGCCGCGAGAACCTTCTGTCCTGCGCTACAGCGACCTCGCATGTCGATTGCAGCTCCAGCCTTCTTCATCACGACACGGTAGTCATAGGAGCGTGCGGCCTTCGACACCGCGCCATCCTGCTGTCCACTCACCAACTCAATCGTGTCGATATCTTGGCCCTTGTACGTGATCTGCCACAGCGAACGAATGATCGTGTTGATCTCGTCCACCTTCTTCGAGTGATACTGCAGCAGCGACTCGTCCAGCGCCTTGAAGTAGCGATCCAGGTCTGTCACGGCCATCTGGGTCGTCTCGAACTGGATCAACTTGTGTCGATACTTCTCTTCAACGTCCTTTAACGTCGGGACACGGAGCTTGATCTTCTGCTCGCGAATCTCCTCCATCAACTGCTGTCTCTTCCCCACCATCATCGCAGCCGAACGTTGCGCAGAAGTCAACGCAGCATCTGCAGCTTCCACTCGATCATTTACATCGTCTAGCGACGGTAAATTACCGATATGATTCTTGAGATCTTCAACCTCAGCACGCATCTTCGCCAATTCCTTTTGAAGCTCACGGTAGTCGAGATTGTCTTGGATGCGTCGCTTAACGATCTCATTCTCGCTCAGATTCTTCTCAGCACTTTTCATCTGAGGGGCCAGATCTGCCAAAGCTTGGACTACTCTGTCTTCACGCTGCTTGGTTTGTGCGATATTATCACTTATCGTTTGAACTTCACGCTCCAGTCTGTCCAGTTCGCCGTGCTGCACTTGCTTGCATTTATCACTGAACACACGGAAGTCTTCCTGGCGTTCCTGGAGCTCAGATCGTTGGGCTCGTAGCTGTTCTCTCGCCTCTGCACGTCGCGTCTCGCGTTGCGTTGTCTTCGCTCGAACTTCACGCTCCAGCTCGGGCTCCGACTTCTTCAGCTTTGCACAGGCTTCTTTCAAGCTCTTCTCCTGCTCCCGTAGTCTGTTCTGCTCTTTAATGGCTTCATCATATTCCTTACGCTGCGTTTCAATGCGGAGTTTTTCCTCCTTCCGACTGTGTATTTCGTTCTGCAACTGCTGCAGCATTTCGTTGATATGATCAAGTTCTTTCTGCTTGCGTTGAAGCTGGTGGTTCAGCTCCTGGACTTCTGCCTGCTTGGCGTCTTTCTCGGCTTCCACATCTGACAACGAGCAACCATTCGATCCCTGACTCCCTCTCATACGCTCCTCCTCTTTCGTGATAGCCACGTCGGAATAGTGAAGCTCGTCGGCAGATTTACGCAAGATCTCCATATCGGACTTAGCCGTCTTGGCAGCGTCGAACTGCTCCTGTGCCAGATCAAACACTGCCTTTTTGTCTTGCACATCCACCTCCAGAGCTTTCTGAGCAGCATAAATCTCCTCCAGCTCAGTTACTTTTTCAGGGATCGCAGTCTCGAGCTCCAGCCACTTGCGCCAACTCGGCATCTTCTCCTTAATCTGCGTCAGTGTCTGGAGCGACGATTTCTCCAGATCTTCGGCCTTTTTGATCTTGTCAGCAACCTTTCCGTCATCCGTTTTATCGCTCAAAATGCTCTCAAAAGCCTGCTCTTCCTCGGGACTCATGTCACGTTCACATAGTGGACAGCAGTGATCTTTAAGTCCTTTTTTCTTGTAGATATTGAGAAACATGACCATGTTCTTGCGACGTACGACTTTGTCTTTGGCATCAGCATACGCGCGCTCAGCTTCCTTCACTCCAAGCTCAGCGTTCTTCAGGTCGTGGCCAGGAATGACCTTATCCAGCAGTTCTTTCAGTCCAGTCATGTGTTGTCTATCCAGTTGGTTCTTCTTCGAGCGCAAGGAGTTCAACTCCTTTTCCGCGAGCTTCGACGACGTCGTGTTCTCCATCAAACGCTGTTCAGCTGACGCTTGTTCCCTTCTCTTAGTATCAAGAGAGTGCTTGCGCTCGGCAATAAGGTCGTCAATATTACGCAGTGCCGACACTAGTGAGGATCTGTCTGTCGGCTTCTCGCCACCTTCAAAGATTTCTTCAATATCCGCCACTTTTTCGTGTAAACTGGCCTGGAATATTTCCTGTTTTTTGCGATATTCACTGCGTTGAAACTCGATTTCAGCGTTTCGACGCGCGTATATGCGCAATTGGCTGATCTGCTGTCCCAGATCTTCGATCACGTGGTTGATGTCGCTCATTTGTCTGTTAAACCCTTGGATCTCGTCTCTCAGAGCCATCACGTTGTGTTTGGCTCTGTAATCCTCCAACGCTCTCTCCGCTTCCGACACTTGTGAGCTCATTTCCTCTGCGTCTCGCTGGGAATGAAGACCGGCACCTCCCAGCTCCCTCAATCGATCTGCAATAACCTTTTTGTCTCTATTCAGTGCCTCAAGACTCTGCGTCTTCGTCCTCAAATCGTCTCTCAAACGCTTCACCTGAGAGGTTAATTCAGATAACTCCGTGGTTAACGCATCGTCATCCTGTCGCTGCTTGACATCCAGCTTATTAACCGCTTCTTGCTTGTCCTTGACAACGTTCCTAAACTCTGCCAAAAAGGTCGAAATATCCTCCTGTTGCGAGGACAAAGGCTGCAAGTGGAAGCGATACTTGGTACTGAGCTTCGAAGCCGAGTCAATGAGGTCCGCCACCTTCTTCTGGTACGTGTCAATGTTCGTTTCAACGCGTGCTTTATTGTCACGTAGCGTCACGTAGTCCTCCTTGGCTTTATGTTGCTCTTTCTGCAGTTTTTCATCCTGTTCTTGCAGTCTGGTAAACGCTCTACGATGATCCTCAATAATAGCATCATAGTCATTCAAGAAGCCTCGTAACTCATCATCAGTGTCGCTCATAATGTTCTCAATTTTGCTGTATGCAGTACGCACACTCTGCTCCTTCATGACCACATCTTCTTGTCGTCTTTCCAGCTGTAAATGAAAGTTCTTGACTTCTTCTTGCAATTGCTGCAGCTCCCTCAACGTCTCCTTCGCCTTATCAATTTTCTCCTTCGCTCCTTCTCCTTGTTCTGTAATTTCTTCAAGTTTCTCCTGCAATCTCTCAATTTTATCGCGAATCTCCTCCGCCATCTTCATGTGCGTCGTCAACACATCCAAGTCCCGTTTGTAGTCCTTAGCATTTTCCAGTCGCGCCTTCTTCAGCTTCCTAATAGCTTCAAGAGCTTTCGTGTATCTCGCCGACTCGAAGATATTATCAAATCGTTTCTTTAACTCGGCGCCTTCTCTTAATGGCCAGTTGGATTCTTCTTGGTGACAAAAGATGACACTTTCTAGAATGGCTTTAGACACTCCCAGCATGTCTGGAATGTGCTGATCGAGCTCGCCACATTTGTGACTAAGCGAAACCTTCTCGCCCAGCTCGTTCACCACGCGGATGACGCCGTCTAGAGCTTTAAAGTTCATCGTCTTCTTTGTCTGACGCACCTGGTACGTACGATGCACCAGCATAGCTTTACCAGCTCGATTGCGGAAGCGTAGGCGGATACTGGCTTTCACTTCGTTGGTACCGGCGATCTTTGGGTCGTGGATGAGGCTTTGGCCACTGCGTGCACCGGGGGGAAGACCGCCTGTGCACGCGAGCTTGAGGCACTCGATCACTGTGGTTTTGCCGCAGCCATTGTCACCCAGGAGGATGGTCAGAGGATGGTAGAACTCGATGATCTCCTCGCGGTTCGGACTGAAGCTGCGGATGCCGCGGATCGACAACTTCTCGATGCTCGACATCGCTGGCTGATGGTGAAGTGCAGCTTTTTTGCCGGGAAAATGATAAACGGACTTAAGAGGGAATATGCGACGTGTGAGAAGCGATGGATCGAGCAGTTCAACTTGTCGTTGCCGCAGTGTTCCACCACACATGGATTAACTTCCTATATGCTGTTCATGACGTTCAGGATCGTCCCGGCGCAGAGCCTCGATGTTGAAATACTCGATACAGAACTAGGCCAATCTTTGCAACGAAGTTACACTCACAAGTTATCTTGTGGTGCGATACTTCATCCAGAACAACGCTACGTTGAGTCGATTATCACGCTGCGTACGCAGCTAATATGAGTGATGTTATCACCACCAATGACGCAGTAGGCTATTGAGACGTGAAAAGTATGTATATTTTTGATGAATCCGTTTAGGTACTCGACGGTTAACGATCCTTAACGCTGTCGATTTTGCCTCACCTCGATAGTTACTCGAGCCCACCTTGCAGCTCTCTTGGCTTCTACCTGCAGCAACTCACACTGTGTCTGCCCTTCCGGGACAGCAAATCCTGTATGGCATGTACTTACGAAAATCTAATGCACTTATGTACTGTAGTTCTGATGCTCAACATTCTAACCAACCGACTCACTATCTGAGCCACACTTTGAACAAGTACCCGGTAGAGGTCGTCGTGCCATTCAAGCACAGTCTTGATCAAGCTGAAATTGCGAGTCTTACTGTGATCCAATTTGTGTTGCCGGCAATCGTCGCTCCGAAAATGTGAGTATTCTAATGTGGTCGTTCATACGGGTGGCTCGCCAACGCGACACAGGAACATTCTCTCCGTGCCGCGATCCCACCCGATGTTGTCTTCATGCGCTCGTTTTCGCCATCGCAACTTCGAAGACGTAAGATACGGTATCTTTTCATATATACTTTAGTGTAGATGAAGTGCTGGTACATGTACCGTACTCTTGTTGCATTGTAAACTACTACTTCGTACTGATACTAATATCCGATGCACTCGTAAACGACGTTTATTCCGCGGCGCTTCCGCAAGCAATGCCGAATGGAGACAACTAGCATGTAAAAATTTGCAACGGAGTCGCTTCGAGTATGTTGATGGCCATATTCCCTTTTTTTTTAATCAAATTTGTAGTAAGACTGGGGCTACTGCATAATTTTATAAACCACCGAAAAAGCCTCTACGTGAACTTCAAGTCAAGCTTGTTGCAAATGTCGACGACCTGTAACATTCGATATCAGAAAATCGGAATTTTTTTTCGCGATATTCCGTGTATCATTGTAGGTACAAATTTCTAAACCGATGTAAGCAGCTTCTTGGAATGCCTACGTTGGCCGCTCCGAAATGAATGCCTTTATTATATTACAGGGTTGCTCGCCATAGAATCTCCACTGCCAAGCTGGCGGTATTTATCGTGGCGTCTATGTCTGCGGTAAAATATATCTTCGGGATAATACAGTCTCCATAATAAACCTGATATTGTAGCAGCCCCAGCCCTATAGCATAATATCTGTGTACGACACATCAACAGCCAGTGAGGGGGAGAGAATCGAGCTAGTAGCTCCGCTGTCTCTGGCATTCCCATCGTCACTCGTCGCTAGCTCGGTCCGGACGATGCAAGCCCCCACGCCGCCCGGTGCGCTCATTGCGACGTCCCAGTTGCCCTACATCTCCACACTAACGCGATTTTCTGGTCTATAGGCTCGGCGGATGCCTCGCCCGTCCGCACGAACAGCAAGAAGCCGTCGCCGGCGGACTTCATGTTCGGCGCCACGCTAGGCGAAGGCGCCTACGCTCGTGTGCGTACTGTAGCAGCTTTGAAGGGTCGAGTGGTAGGGATTATTGACGTTTGACGTGGCTCTGGTCACTATTGCAGGTCGTACACGCGCGTATGAAGGACACGGGCGCCGAGTACGCAGTGAAAATTATGGAAAAGCGCTTCATCCGCAAAGAGAAGAAGGTCAAGTTCGTCATGATGGAGCGCAAGGTCTTCTCCAAGATCTCGCACGACCGCGTGGTCAAGCTCTTCTTCACGTTCCAGGTAAATAACGATGCGGCGACCCGAACGGGCGGCTGTGCAGCAATGCACCGCCAACAAGATGAACTCTCTTGTACTAATTGATGTTCCATTCTTGCTACAATGGTGTGCGTAGGATAACAGCTACCTGTATATGGTGATGGAGCTCTGCCGTGGCGGCGAACTGCTCGACGTGATCACGTACGTATTCATTTACAGTTTATCTATTATCGCTGGCATATTATTCGTGGAAGAGAACTGACTCCTATCTGGACCAATATTATTTATGCAATAGTAAGCATCAGAAGGAGCAGGCTGCTGCGGGTTACACGGATCGCGCGTGCTCGTTGGAGCTGACACGCTTCTGTATTGCCGAGGTGGTGGTTGCGCTGGAATATCTGCACAAGAATGGCGTGATCCACCGCGACCTCAAGCCTGAGAATATTCTTCTGAGCGATGAAGGGCACCTCAAGGTGACGGACTTTGGTACAGCCAAGGACGAGACCGAGGAGAGTCGTCATAACACGTTCTGCGGTACAGCTGAATACGTGTCGCCCGAAGTGCTACGCGATCAGGAGGCGTCTCGCGGCTGCGACCTGTGGGCTATGGCCTGCATGGTGTTCCAGATGCTCGTGGGTCGACCCATGTTCCGTGCAGAGAACGAGTATCTTACGTTCCAGCAGATTTTGAACCATCCGGCCGAGGACTTTGCTTACCCGTCAGGGTTCCCGTCCGTCGCGAAGGATTTGATTGATCGCATTCTATTGCAGGAGCCAAACGAGCGTCTTGGCGCTGGCTCAGACGACGACGGCAATGGATACGCTGCGTTAAAGGCACATCCGTTCTTTGAAGGCGTCGACTGGGAAATGGTCGGATACGCTCAGCCGCCTTACCTACCGGAGATCGGCCGACTGCCACCTACGGAATATGTAAGATTGTATGGCGTGTTAATATGGTTGGATAGTAAACTAATATCTACGATCTTGTACCGTGTAGGATGGCGCCACCGAGGACTGGCTGTTTGCTGGTGTTGCTACCGAGTTGCAGGTGTCGTCTGGACTCGCTCTGGACCCTCCGCCGTCTCCGTACGTTTGCTGTTGCGTCGTAGCGTGATAATTAGAACTCTTTGTTTTAAATTTATGTCTGGGATCTTGTGCTTTTTAATTTGTAGGGCTGAACATGTTAACGTAGTGGAAGTGGCTCGTCAGAAGGCAGCAATACCGCCTGCAATGCGACGTACCAGTTCGCTCTGGAACCGATTCCTGCTGGATGACGAGCTGATTAAGATGGGCGGACTCATTAGCAAGCGGAAGGGCCTTTTTTCCAAGAAGCGACAGTTGATCTTGACATCGAAGCCTCGATTGATCTACATTGACCCCATTAGAATGAAGCAAAAGGGAGAGATCCCGTGGTCGGACAACCTCTACGTCAATTCAAAGAGTGCGACTGCTTTCGACGTCGTGACGGTAAGATACTGAACCTAGACGTATGAATTCAAGATGCTAACCTCTATTGATTTCTGGCAGCCGAACCGGGTGTACCATCTGAACGATCTCGTCAACGGGTCGAAGAAGTGGATCGAGGCCATCAACGCGGCGCTTGTGCGTGGAAAGTAGCGAAGCGAACGACTTGACTGGCTGGCCGATCCTGCTCGAACCCCGTTAATGCTTTGCGGAAATGGATTGCGTGTTGAGTAGACGCTGTTTGTGCAGTTAGTCGAGTGTCCATCAGCAACAAGAGTCTGCTTCAAAAGACCACAAAATGCAAAACTTTACTCGGGTTCACATTCCTACCATATCCATTCTGAAACAATAATTTTGTTTCAAAAGTCCAAACAACAATAATTTCAAGATACAAATTCTCCGTGCCAAAGCGAATCTGCATTAAACGGTCAATTGCGAAGAGCTACAAGCAAACAATGCGATAATTTACTCGTCGTCCTCGTCGGCGTCGTTACCGGCATCGTGGATGTTGAAGTAACGGAGCTCGTACGTGTTCTTGTCCGAGGCAATGACGTGCAGGTAGTCACGCAGCTGCTGCTTCTTCAGGTACTTCTTGGTCAGGTACTTGAGGTAACGCTTGCTGAACGGGGGCACAGCCACCACCTGGAGCTTGGTCTTCTCACGGGTGATCTTGACAGCGTCGCCGAGCACGCCAGTCTTGCCGCCGACCTTAATGCGGTCGTGCAGAAACTTCTCGAACGAAGCAGGGTCCAGCACGTGGTCGTCCACGGGGATCGTGCAGTCGATCGTGAACTTAAGAAGCTGCTTCTTGCTGACCTTCTTTCCCTTGTTCTGTGGTGATGACATTAATTGGAATTAGACACTTGCTCGAGACAGATATTTGTCTGTGGCGAGTGTCTGATCTGCGTATTGCATTGGAGTCCTCTCGCCCCAGGATTAAACAGCTTTTGTTCCAATTGAAATGCGTGGCGACCAACTTGTTAGTTGGCTGCCCACAGAGAAGGGAACTCTGTTTGCCCGAGCAGAGAAGGAGGACTCTGCAGCTTAGCAACTCATTCACTCGCCCCAGAAGGGGACAAAGCAGCAGGAACTTACAGCAGGAGCCATGGCGTCGGACTGAATGAACTACGGGAGTACTGCGGAGTCGTTCGGAGAATGACCGGCCACGGACTACAGGTGGGGCAGGTGAGAGACGCATCATGATTGGCTGGAATAGACCCTGGCGAATCACTGGAGGAGAGCCACTGAACTACCCTTCAACAATTTTAATTGGTGGAAAATCGATTCTATTCCTGTAAAGAGAGGAAAACGTTCTTGTAAAGGGAGATGTAGCGGTTGGTTCAACGCCAATCGCGCCTTCCGACAAGCGCCATCTTGTATCTGGTAGACTCCAAGAAAACCTTAAAGTGATTCAAGGTGGGCTGCAGCTGCCGATATACGCATGCACTACTTGAATCGAATGACTAATGTTGGTACTATGACATCAGATGCGTTACATTGCTGCTTACCTGCTCGCTGTCCTGGGTGGCCACCCCACCCCCTCTGCGAACGACGTTGAGAAGATTCTCAACTCGAGCGGTGTGGAGGTCGACAAGACTCGCGTGGCTGCCGTGATCAAGGCCATGGAGGGCAAGACCGCCGAGGAGGTGATCGCTGCTGGTAGCGAGAAGCTCGCCAAGTTCGGCTCGGCTGGCGCTGCCCCCGCTGCCGCCGGAGGTGCCGCTGCTGGCGCTGAGGCCGAGAAGGTCGAGGAGAAGGCCGTTGAGGAGGAAGAGGAGGTCGACATGGGCGGCGGCATGGACATGTTCGGCGGAGACGAGGACTACTAAGTGTCGTCTATCGTGTCAACCTTTGTCAAGAGCGGCATGGAGCCTTAATCTCCAATCTACCAGAGTAACACATCTAATCAATGGGACACTTTGTTAGGGGATCAATTGCTGAAAAAAGTGTCAAAAGTTGGTGCTCCGAATGTCAGAAGTTGATGGAAAATTTACTGAATGCTGCACTTGGGATTCTGCGAACTGCGGATGTCTGGCGTCTTGACGTCTGGGTCGTGTTGCTCGTGGTTGACGATCTGCGCTTTAAGCACAGGAGCTTCTACGTCCAACTCCGCTTTAGAAAGAGAAATTCCCGCCAGGTCTGCAGCCACTTGACGGAACGTCGTGTTCACTTGGTCTCCTGTCTTTGCAGACACGAAGAAACTCTTGAGGTCATTCTCCTCGGTAAATTGTTTGTGTTTGGCCACTTTGACAGCACGGAGATGATTCAGATCCGCTGATAAAGGTAACAAGCTCCTATTAGACACAGTTCCGTGTGCTGTATGCTTTTCGACGTACTCTTATTGCCAACGAGAGCTACGTATGGCATGCGTTCTTCATCGAACGTGCGACGAACAAGACGGTACCAGTCCTCAAGGTTCTGAAAGCTCTCGTAGTTGGTGATGTCGTACACCAGCAGCACACCCTGCACCACTTTATCATTAGTAAACGTATTCATCCTAAACACCTTTACAAACACCGCGTACCTGCGCCCCGTAAATATAATTCTTGAGCATCTTGCCGCCGATACTCTGACCACCGATGTCCCAAATCTGCAGCGTCACTTGCGTGTCACCTATGGTGCTTTTATATTAGTTGCGTGCTTTTAAGAAAAGAATTGACTGCGAGGACCTGGCAACGCCATACGCTTGAGGAAAAAATCCAAGCCAATTGTTTGTTTATATGTCGTGGAGAAATTGTCCTCCGTGTGCCGCATAGCGATAGAAGTTTTGCCCACTGCGCCATCTCCCAGGATGATCACCTGCACTCAAGCAAAAACACCAGTAAGCTTTACAACATCACCTACGTGAAGGTACAACTTGTGCAGCATCAACCTTGTACTGAAGCTGTTGCGGCTCCGAATCGCTGTCCGTCTCCTTCGACATGCCGTTTACTTGTAGTCGACCACTCACTTTTAGGCCCAATATACGTAGCTCTTCAAGATCGCGTCGTTTCACAGCCCCAAATGATCAAAATCTAAATACTTGTCTTCGAGATACTGACCCAATCCACCTGCTTGTCCAGCTCCGTCCGGGTGGACTAGTTATGAAGAACTCTAGAAAGTTGCCGTGGTCTCATACACCTGATGTGGATGCATAAGAGCCGAGCCGCGGAATTAACAGCGCAGGCGATGAATGAAGCTATGGCTTTGGTTCGTATGCTGCTACACGTACATCAGATAATAGCAATAATCATTTCGAGGTGGCGGAGCACAACGCGGCAATACCGCAACGTGAAAGTGATTGATGTCTAGAGATAAACGCTACGGTATAGCAGCGATTACCTGAGTGTCGCTCAATCAATCTTGAGATGCTTTGATTGATATGTCCATTGAAGATTTGCAACGAATTTAGCGCGTGGCTGCAAAATGCCATCAATCTGGAGAACCATCGCCATCCGCTTTTATTTTCTTTATGGATAGGGCTCAGTTAAAACGTCATGCCCTCACTAACGCCCGAAGAAATAATACGTATCGCCACACATCCATGTGGCACGACAAGAAACACGGCTCCGGTGACTTTTGTTCGAGAGCGAAGGTTTTCTACGGCGGTGAATCCGACTTGAGTATATTCAGATGGCTGAATGCCAACTGCGACGCACCAGTATCCACCGAAGCGATGGATCTTGCAGCAACCAATGGACATTATGATAACCTCACGAAAGTCGGTTTGAAGGCTGTGCTACTGCCGCTAGGGACGGTGCGGCTAGTAATGGTTACCTCAAAGTCGTCATTTGGCTTAATGAAACCGTTCTGAAGGCTGTACTACAGCTGCGATGGATGGTGCGGCAAGAAATGGATACCTTGAAGTCGTCAAGTGGTTGAACGAGAAGCGTACTGAAGGCTGCACAACTGCAGCGATGGATAATGCCGCGAGCAACGGCCACCTCGAAGTTGTCAAGTGGTTGCATGAGAATCGTACTGAAGGCTGTACCACCGCTGCGTTGGAAGGTGCGGTAATTAACAGTCGTGCAAAAGTAGCCCGCTGGTTGAACGAAAACCGTTCTGAGGGCTGTACCACGGCAACAATGGACAAGGCGGCTGGACTGGGATATCTCGGCGCTGTTAAGTGGCTAAATGAAAATCGGTCGGAAGGTTGCAGTCCAGCAGCAATGATAAACGCCGCGTCGAAAGGATTCCTTGATGTAGTCATGTATTTGCTCTCCAAAGTCGACCAACCGGCTACAAATGCTGCAATTTCCGCTGCTGCTGAGAACGGTCACCTCCTGGTTGTGAAGTATCTCCACGAAAATCGCTCGGAACCCTGCGGGGCCGACGCAATTATCCGTGCAAAGAAAAATGGGCATTGTCGTATTGTTCAGCTTTTGCTAGAGCATGAAGATTGCAGGCGTGTATACAAGGAGGAAGCAGCTAAGACCATGGCTGAAAAGAGAGCTGCCTTAACTTAGAAGGTGTATCAGTTTTTTTGGTTGGCTTTTCTAGTGCTTTGATTGATTCCGCAAATATTTATCGAGATTTTTCTTCCTGGAAAATCTCACGCTCGAGTTGAAATGAAAATCCGAGTTTGAGCGGAAGAGGAAGCCAGTAACGGAGGAAGAACCGAGGGTTCGAGCAAAAGTTGCGGCAAGCATTCGTGAAGTTTGAAAGAGGAAGGCAACAGTGCAAGAATAGGATGAGGGCGAGATGCGTGCAGAGGTTTAGGATAATATCGAGGACAAGATGCGAGCTGAAATTCAAACTGAGCTGCTGGGTGAAGACTTGATGTAACTGATTTAAGGTTATAGCTCAGCTGCATTTTTACGACAAGCCTGTAATCACGTTTTCAAATCTCACGAAGGTCTCAAATCGGTCAGACTTCACAGCAATTTTGTCTCAAGTAATTTCTAGTACGTGTATCTTTCACATGATTTTCAAGGAAGAGGAATTGAGGTGGGTTTTCATGGCATTTTCAGAGTAATTGATAGATATCTGGATGTCCCCACCCCAATTAACGTTTTTAAGCAAATTTTCCCAACTCCACAAGCTTCACTTTCGTTTATCACCAAAGCGTTGGGTCTAGAAGTCAAGGATGTCGCTGTCATCGTCAGAGTCAGAAGAGTTGGAGTATGCATCCCAAGATCCTGTCGAGTGGCACCAGCACAAGCACGATCCCTACGACTTTTGCGCACGCATGAAGAAATACTTTGCTAGACACGGAGAACTCGAGCACTTACAGTGGATGCACGAAAATTGTAGCGGAGATCTATCAACAGAGGAGATGGATGGTGCGGCGACAAATGGCAACCTCAACGTTGTTGAATGGCTTCATGAAGCTCCGTTTAGAGGAAGCATATCGACGCGAAGCTCTACCGACAGAGGTACAAACGTGATGCAATGCTGGTCGTGGCGTCAGAGTGGGAAATGTACAACTGCAGCGATGGATGGTGCGGCTATGAATGGGCATCTCAATGTAGTAAAATGGCTACACAAGAACAGAGAGGAAGGCTGCACCACGTCGGCGATGGATCTTGCGGCTCAGAATGGCCATTTCAACGTTGTTTCATGGCTACATTGCAACCGTGGAGAAGGCTGCACTCCCGCGGCAATCGATGGCGCTGCCAGTAATGGGTTTCTATTGGTGGTGTCCTGGTTGAAAGAACATCGCTCGGAAGGGTGCACGTCTGCAGCGATGATCAACGCAGCGTCCAACGGATTCTTGGAAGTTGTGAAATATCTACACACAAATCTTAACCAACAAGCGACGATTGCTGCAATCACTGCTGCTGCGGGTAATGGCCACCTTCCTGTTGCGAAATATCTACACGACAACCACTCGGAGCACTGCACAATGGACGCGATCGCTCAAGCGAATACAAATGGGCATCACACCGTTGTTGAGTTCTTGCTCAAACATGAAGGCTGTCGTCGTGCCTACGAAGAAGACCGATTCATGGTCAGTGCAGACGAAGATGTTCCTATACTTGAAGATTCTGCCCATGATTTAGACGAATCTGCATACCACAACTCTCTCAATACTAAGTTGGAGTCCCGTGAAGCTATAGACGACAGAGCTGAACTTGAAGCGCGACTTCGTGCCGAAGAGGAAGCAAGAATTCGAGTCGAGGAAGAGCCAAGAATCCGAGCAGAAGTTGAGGCTACCATTCGAGCTGAGCAAGAGGAGGCTTTGATGCGTGCGAGGATCCGAGCTGAAATCCAGGCTGAAGTGGAGGAGAAGATGCGTGCTGAAATCCGAGCTGAGCTCCTGGCTAAGAGGAACATGGAGCCGTGTCCGATCTGCTTCATGCAAACCGACGAATGCTGCACGACTGCTTGTGGTCACACGTTTTGCTCGGGTTGCGTGACGAATTTACGCAGTAGAGGACACGAATTATGCCCCATGTGCAGATCTTCACTTATTGAATAGGCGGATATGCACGATCTGGGCGTTGGAGGATGATAGTTCTCGCTTCGTAGTGCTTTTCATTTTTTCCCAATATATTTTAACAACAACCATCCATTCGCGAATGGACTTCCTCACAAGAAAGAAAAACAAATCACCGTGTGTGTGAAGGTGCGGGAACAATAAACGATTACAGTATGAGGGAGGATTCAAAATCGCTTCGAGAAATTCCACAAAATATCGACAAAGATTGACGGTTTGACTCAACGCTTCTTGTGTTTCTATCCATCTTCATGAGGGGTGAGACCTCCAATAAAAGTACTAAATATGCTTTCCATGTACTAAGAGAACCAGTGAAATATTTATTACAATGAAAGAAATGCATTATTCTGCCCATTCTTCTCTTGTGGCTTTCGTACCAGGAATTACCGCTCAAGATGTAGTTGGGCTACATCCTTGACCAAATCACTCAAGTTTGCATCAGAACGCCACCAACTCGAATTTCTTCCTAAAAAAACACTCTTGAATCGTTGACCAAATCCGCACACGCATCTGTCTCAGAACGGGTTTCGTTCAACCAGCGGGCTACTTTTGCACGACTGTTAATTACTGCATCCTCCAACGGAGCAGTGGTACAGCCTTCAGAACGGTTTTATAGAGCCAAATGATGGCATCGATGTGCATATAATATATGCACTACATACTATCTTAATAATTTGTATTAAAATACTAGCTGCACAGTCCATCAACTCGATTTTCATATAACCAGATGAGGCTATTATAACTACCTTTGGTCCGTTGCTTCGGTGGATAGTGGTGCATCGCAGTTGGTATTCATCCATCTGACGTAATCTAAGTGATAGCGACCGCCACAGAAATCCTTCGCTCTTGAGCAAAAAGCACCAGAGCCGTGTTTCTTGCCGTGCCACTTGGATCGTTTACAATTCCGAATTCGCGAATTTCTTCGTGTGTTAGCGCAGGCTAACTTTTACTGTGCGCTTCCACATGAAAAACGAGAGAGAATGGCAATACACTGGTCGATGGTTTTGCCTTGCATTATTAGATTGACATGACATGCTTATTGGCCATGCATTACTTTCCTTTTGGCTTATACTGCACCGGTACTTAGTGTTGAAAAAAAGGAAACCGCTCATTTTTCTCCTGTGCCACAACATAGCTGCTACCTGTGCACGATGATCACAGCAACGACTTCGAAAGTACTAATGAACGGAGCAGATGTAGCTCAGTTCGGTGACCCGATATCAGCGTGGAACTTACAAATCGTCTATCTCGGCAAGCAATTCGGCTCGAATCTCCGCGCGCAGCTTCACTTTCATCTCTTCTTCAATCTCAGTGCGGATTCGTAAGCGTAACTCGGTTTCTTGGCGATCATCGCATGTAGAAACCTTGATGTTGGCCACATTGTTCTCAGCATGATATTCTTGTTTGACTTGAGCTCCGCCATCCTCTTCACTCTGAGCTTGCTCCTTACAGTTGTTTCGCTTCTCACGAACATCCCCATCACAAATCGTCGTGTCGATTGCATTTTGCAGCTTGACTTCGCGAACGAGCGAAGAGTTTCCTCCAGTTCGCATTTTATCGGATTCATAGGCAAGTCGGCACTCTTGATGCTTAAGCAAAAACTCAGCAACAGCTCGATGCCCGTTCGTTTCAGCGCTTTTGACGGCATCAGATGAGCAACGCTCAGATCGGTTTTCGTGCAGATATTCCACGATCCGTAGGTGGCCGTTTGTTGCGGCTGCAGTGATTGCAGCGTTCGTAGCTTGTTGTTTGAGGTTGGTGTGCAAGTATTTTACGACCGCCAGGTGTCCATTTGATGCTGCATTTGTCATTGCTGCCGACGTGCACCCTTCAGGTCGATTACGATGCAGCCACTTCACCGCATCTAAATGACCCTGACCAGCTACACTATCCATTGCTGCAGTTGTACATCCTTCACATCGATTCTTGGAAAGCCAGCGAACAAGATTGGCATGGCCATTCCTTGCCGCACCATCCATTGCTGCCTTAGTGCAGCCTTCGGATCGGTTTCGGTGCAGCCATTCAACCACTTGGAAGTGACCGTTTGTAGCAGCTCCATCAATTGCCTCAGTAGTGCATTTTTCGGATCGGTTTCGAGTTAACCACTCAACCACTCCGAGATGTCCGTTTGTTGCGGCACACTTCATTGCTGTGGCAGTGAAATCCGCCTGAAACATTTTACTTAGAGCCATGATGAGGTCGAGACGGCCGGTGCTGGCCGCATTATACATTGCAGCAGTGGTGCATCCTTCACGACGCTTATAGCTCAAGAATTGAAACACATTGGAGTGCCCGTTGCTCACCGCACCATCCATCGCTGCTGTTGTACAGCCTTCGGAGCGATTCTGATGAAGAAACTCAACTACCACAAGATGCCCGTTGCTCGCAGCTTTATCCATCGCAGCCTTCGTGCAGCCCTCACTGCGGTTTTCGTGTAGCCACCGTACGACTTGAATATGGCCGTTCATCGCTGCGTCATCCATCGCCACTGTCGTGCAGTCTACGTAGCAGTTGTTGTGAAGCCACTGGATTACCGGTAAATGCCCATTTCTCGCAGCTCCATCCATCGCCTTTGCGGTAATTTCTGCGTCGCAGTTCATGTGCATCCATTTCAGATGTACGAGGTTACCGGAGCCAGCATAGTCGCCTTTCATCTTGGTGCAGAAGCCACTGGAATGCTTCAGGTCGTGCCATTCGGACGGGGCTCCATCTTTCGCTTTATCTCGCAACGGCATTTCGATCGACTAAAGACCAGTTTTTTTCCGATTGTGGCTCGAAACGACGCGATCTTTGCAGAATAAATTCTTGTTTTTACTGTGGTTATTGTTTGTGCAGGTGATCAACTGCGGGCAAAACTTCGGAACGAGGATCAAGATTTTTTTTAGTCAGAGCGATTTTCACAGAAAAATCCCTGAAAACAACCAGAATAGGAGTTGGCAAAACTTTTTTCTGACAAAGCCAGTTAGCAATGTCGATGTAAGCATTGATGGTAGCGGTGTCCACGAGATCCGAGCCCCACTCTTTACTATCGACGCCGCTTATCCACATCAAATCGTCCATTCACCTTTCTCTGCAATATGCTTCGATATCATGCTTATGCGGAATCTATTCCCACAAGTAGCGAACGCGAAATTTCGACGATGATGACCGAAACACTACCCGAATACAAAAACGAAACGGCTTGAGGAAATGAAACACACACACGCATTCTTCAATCCCTATGAGCTCGCGTCATACAGACCGTTCATAACCACGTACACTGCATGAATTGCATGCAAAACTCATCATCATACCTTTTTTTTTTTAATTAAACCAACCATCTGCGTTGCACCAATTCGCCACGAGATACTTGAAATTATTTTTATTTTTAAGGAGGTTCAATCTATTCACCTGGACATATTGTGAATGCAACAGCTAAACACAAGTCTGTCTAGGTCACGACGTAGAACTCCCTCTTTGTTGCGACTGCATAACCAGACGGCGTAATGAGAGTGACAGGAAAAGCTCAGCACCAACAAAAAGCACCGTTGTCACGGGTCATGTAGGTTCGCTAGGACGACAGAGAAGCTTTTTCGGTATCTGTTACGATCCGGGCGAACGCATCGACACGATTGGCAGAGGTGAGCGATGCGGCTCTGGCGTTTGGGTAGTGTGGTGACTCGGGTTCTAGATGCAGATATGGAAAGATAAGTTCACAAGCACCATGACCATTACAATATTAAGTGCAAAACGTACGATTACACATTATGTCATGGTGAAAATAAAACTGGGATCAATTTGGATCTGTAGGAACAGCTAATTGAGTCAGTTAGCAAAGCTAATCGAGCTGAATTGCCACCACACCTTGGCAAATATACTGGTGGGCGACGTATTCTTGCTCCCCGATACACAACCTGTGATGACTACTTTTGGCTGATGTCGTGGCTGATGAGGGTTTCCGACTTCCGGTTCGCTTCGTAACACTATCGCATCCAGCACCATCGCACCGAAAATAATGGGCGAGTCGATCATGTTGTACACAGGAATCCCTGTGATTCCATGCAATCATTGAAGACGCTCTACCTCTGCGGCTGTGGTGGCTGGTGATACAAAAGCAGCAGTGCCTTTTTGCAGCATGGAAGCAGATCGTTGGATGCAGAACTTTGTCTTATTCTAATTCTCGTCGTTTGACGAAGATTCCGATAGTTCCGGCAGAACAAGTAATCGCAATGGCAAAACGAGCTTCGCATCATTAAATGACAGCGAAGAGAGCAAAATCAGAGACGGGAAATGCGACTTCGGATAGACCAACCCTTGCGCCGAGTCGAAGGCCGATCCAATCTGCTAGCTACAAACGAAGTACAGTAATGTTATCAAGATCAGCATATGTCAGCTAGTTTCGCAACACTTACAGACAGCATCATAGATTTCCTGTGGAAGCTCGAGACACAGTTCAAGTTAACAACATCCCATCTGCTGGAAAAATCCTCAAATAACTTTAATCGACTGGTTTTTAGTGGCATTGCCATTATTTAGAGGTATGTTGCAGGCGAAGGAGGCGTCATGACCATTTTCGCAGGAGACAATTCGTTAGAACATATTCACATAATACTATAACGGGCGCCATACATACATGATACCAGTACTCGGCAATGAGATCCCTTCATTTCCGATGGCAAGAGTCACGAACGGTTCCCTCCAAACGTAGTCATCTGTATCAAAGCGTCCTCTCTGACAGTGCTCTCAGCTACCTTGATTTCATCAGTTTCGATAAAATATACTCCTTTTTTCTTCGCTGATTGATCATAGCCGTGATATACGTACCCGGTGTATCCTGAACAAAGTGGCGATTAATCTAATGTGAATCCCGCTCCAATGAAGCCGTCAGCATTCAAACTACCCAAATAGTACGCCACGACTGCCATCTCCTGGTTATCCAACCTGAACATTCCGACGTTGATGTGGAGCTACCCAATGCAGCTGATAATGCAATCGTTTTCGAGCATTATCTGAGCACAGAAAAGTCGAGTCAGTAGGGCCCTCGGAGCATTTTACTGGCCGAATAATCGATTCAATTTAATGTTAAGAGCGAACTTCGGGCGGAAGTGCTGCAGATGCTCCTAATTGTAATGCTCTTGGTTACAGCACTATGTGAATGTGACCTCGTAGCGGGCATTATAAAGTCGATATATTCTTAATTTCGCCGCTAATGCAGCTCAAGCCGTGCTATTAAGCCAGTGCATTACACAGAAATGGACGAAGTTTGAAGAGATTCCAGGAGATGACCTCCCAGCAAGTCATGAGGGGCCAAAGATTGGTGGTGCATTTTATCCGGCCAGTACAGCACGCCCTCAGTGTCAGGATTCTCGGGATCTAATCTCAAGAATTACTTCACTGTCAGAATGACGCAGTAAGAAGGAAATGAAGGAATATATATTTCGCTCAATTTTGGGAGGAGATGGTATCAGTCCCACTGCGTTAAAATGTAGTATTGAGCTTCTTCACGTTTGCTTCAAGTCGTCACCAAGCAGTCCAGCTCGGATTTCAGTACGCATCTTGTCCTCAACATTCTCTTGAATCTCTGCCCGAATCCGCGCACGCATATCCTTTTCCTTCTTAGCTTGAATTGCTGCCTGCGTCTTTTGTTCTTCACGAATGTATGCTTCAACTTCAGCTCGAAGTCTCGGCTCTTCTTTCATGCGAATATTGGCTTCCTCTTCCGCTCGAATTCGTGCTTCCATTTCACATTTTTGCTTACCCGATTGAGCTTCAGACGATTTTATTTGATCTCGATGGTTTCCATCAGGACGGAAAAACTCAATCAGCGTTTGTGGGATAAATCGAAACACTAAAAGCACCATACAAAGAAGGCGATACACGACCATTCGAATAGACGTCTCCTTCTTGAACGCAAGCCGACAACCTTCATGCTCTAGCAAAAGCTGAACAATACGACAATGCCCATTTTTCTTTGCACGGATAATTGCGTCGGCCCCGCAGGGTTCCGAGCGATTTTCGTGGAGATACTTCACAACCAGGAGGTGACCGTTCTCAGCAGCAGCGGAAATTGCAGCATTTGTAGCCGGTTGGTCGACTTTGGAGAGCAAATACATGACTACATCAAGGAATCCTTTCGACGCGGCGTTTACCATTGCTGCTGGACTGCAACCTTCCGACCGATTTTCATTTAGCCACTTAACAGCGCCGAGATATCCCAGTCCAGCCGCCTTGTCCATTGTTGCCGTGGTACAGCCCTCAGAACGGTTTTCGTTCAACCAGCGGGCTACTTTTGCACGACTGTTAATTACCGCACCTTCCAACGCAGCGGTGGTACAGCCTTCAGTACGATTCTCATGCAACCACTTGACAACTTCGAGGTGGCCGTTGCTCGCGGCATTATCCATCGCTGCAGTTGTGCAGCCTTCAGTACGCTTCTCGTTCAACCACTTGACGACTTCAAGGTATCCATTTCTTGCCGCACCATCCATCGCAGCTGTAGTACAGCCTTCAGAACGGTTTTCATTAAGCCAAATGACGACTTTGAGGTAACCATTACTAGCCGCACCGTCCATAGCGGCAGTAGTACAGCCTTCAAACCGATTTTCGTGATACCAGGAGAGGTTATCATAATGTCCATTGGTAGCTGCAAGATCCATCGCTTCGGTGGATACTGGTGCATCGCAGTTGGCATTCAGCCATCTGAATATACTCAAGTCGGATTCACCGCCGTAGAAAACCTTCGCTCTCGAGCAAAAGTCACCGGAGCCGTGTTTCTTGTCGTGCCATGCACATGGATGGGTATCCCCGAATTCAAGTTTTTCTTCTGGTGTTAGCGTAGGCATGGCGTTTGACTGGACGCTTACCAAAAGCGAAATGAAAGAGGAAGGCACAGAACGATGCGAGCGATGGTTTCGACTAATGACTAGTCTGGATCTTACGATACTTCGCCTTTGAAATCGTAGCAAAATCTTCACAAATAGTTCTGATACTTCGAACTAGTTTCTTACAGGACTCCTTATCGTGATTCAGAGCATCCTATTCATCGGTTCTTCGAGCTGACCAAAGAGAAAAAGTACACGATGGTATCTACAGACTTGCGGAATATCTTGCATTGAATCGGGACTTGAAATACTGTGCTACTACCTTGCTGACCCCTGATGAAAAATGATCCTTCCCGATTAAGCAAAAAACGCCACTTCAATTCCTTATCATCCGACTGTGGTGGTGTGCTGATCACAGCAATGTTAACCGCATAGAAATGTACTTACTCTCCGTCTTTATTCAGACAGTGGATCCTTCCATGGCTATCTAACTAAGGTATTCACCACTGCGAGGGCTCACCAAACTTTGGTATCCGTCTCGACGTCTAGTAGCGGTACAGCTTGGCCGATCGAGTCTGCTCGAGATCAATCTTGTGTCCAAAGAGGTCGCGGATGTTGTTGAGGCGGTACTTAATCATTGTGGGGCGCTCCAGCGACAGACCCCAGGCGATAACACGTACATTTTCGGGCAGACCCATGGGGCGCAGCATCTCCGGACGGAACACGCCAGAGTTACCGATCTCAGTCCACTTCTTCAGGTCCGGGTGAAAGGCGAAGATCTCCATACTGGGCTCCGTGTAGGGGTTGTATGCCGGCTTGAAGCGCATCTGCGTAATACCGATCTTCATGAAGAATGCCTTGATGATACCAATTAGGTCACCCAGTGACAGGTCGTAGTCTGCCACCACACCTTCGACCTGGTGGAACTCAGCCAAGTGCGTCGCGTCCATGCTTTCGTTACGGAACACACGGTCAATGGAGAAATACTTCTGCGGGGTGAAGCCACCGGGCTGGTTGGCGAGCTTGTACAGCATCTGAGCCGAGATAGCGGTCGTGTGCGTACGCAGGATGTTCGTCATGGACGTCTCGCGCTTGAAGGCACCGCGACCGTGACTGTGGCGGAATTAGAGAGTTAAACGATGAGTTTAAACACAGCCACAAGAGCCAAACAGCACTTTCATCAGCTTACCCAATGGAGTCGAAGCCACCGTTCTCGTGCATGTCGTGGACGCGCTTGTAGTAGTCCTCCGGCACCGTCAGGCAGTACTTCGGCTCTGCAAATAAACACAAAAAGTCAGTTAACTCGTCTATTAACCACAAACAGTTGACAAAAACGCACGGGTGAGGAAGAACGTGTCGTGGGCGTCGCGGGCAGGGTGTGACTGCGGCTGGAACAGCGAGTCGAAGTTCCAGAAACTGCTCTCCACGAAGCGGTTGGTCGGCATCTCCTGGAACCTGCACCATTCAACATTCAAGCATAAGCACGAAGCAACTCCAACTACCTCCGACCACAACCAACTCACCCCATGTCCATAAGCACGCGACGAAACTCAGCGCGCACCTTCATGAGCGGATGCAGGTGGCCACCACCGACGCTCAGACCCATCGTCTTGAAGTTGTAGGGCTTGAACGTCTCCTTCTTCCATGCATCACTGTAATAACCTCGTCAGTACCATCAACCTTTACTCACTCCAGTTCTCTTTACTCACCCGTCCAGCATCTCCTTTGTCAGTCCCGCTGCCTGTTTCTTCCTCTGAAGAGCAAAGTTCACGCCCTTGGTCAGCGCATACGACTTGCGCGTACGCACTTCAGCCAGTTTGCGGCGCTTGAGCGTGTTGGCCTCGTCCTTGGAAACAGTTGAGAGCGCGCCGTCCGCCTGCTCCACACGACGGAGCATCTCCGTGACCTCGTCCTTCACTTCCTCCACATTGCGGTAGAACTTGCCATCTGCCTTGTCCAAGCGGATCCACTTGTTCTTCATACACGCGCCCTGTCCGACCTTGAGCGTAGCAGCGCCCACAGCGGCCTCCAGCGTCTTGCGGTCCACGCCCTCGGCGGGGATGGCACGGAAGACTTGGATCTCGGGAGATCCCTGCTCCAGGAAACTCCTGGCCTCGTCTTTCAGCACGTAGAATGACGTAGAGCGCTCCGTGTCGGCCACAAAGGCATCCACCAGCAGCGACTTCATGACGCCCACCACCAACTCGTGCGACAGACCGTTGGCCAGCGCGAACTCATACGTATCGGCCACGGACCCCTCGCTCCCGATGGTCTGTAGCAGCAGCGCCTCTGCGCGCGTCTTGTCCGCTTCAACGCTCATGCTTTAGGTTGATCTCGAACGAGTGACCAACACTCTTTGACTAGTGGTCAATGGAGGCGATCGCTTTTGGCTCAGACAGATGAATTTTCCTTTTGTACCAGTACATTTCCACCTCGTTTAATTCCGAAGTAAAAAGACCTCGCTCTACTGCCAGTGTCACTATCTTGCAAAATGGGTCACTCCGTCAGAGCCATTCGGTGACTTACAGTAGCTGCTCGATGGACTCGAGGCGACATCAGGGCGGTCGACGCTTCGACAATGGCGGACGCAGGTTCCGCCGCGGTGGAGGACGCGGTTCAGGCCCCGTGTGGTTCAAAGGTGAGGGCTACAACGACCACGAGAGCGTGTGTATCGCCGAGGAGGTGGCGGGTATTTCGGGCTTCCTGACTACAAGTCAACGAGGCTTTAAGGGCGTCGTCAAGCAGCGCTTCGCCGATTTTGTGGTGCATGAGCTGTCGCTTCGTACCAAGCAGCCAATTACGCTGCAGAATGTGGCCAAGAAGGGCAAGACTGCGCAGCTGGCCTTCCAGGAGCGCGTGTTGGATTTCGTCCTGGGCACCGTGGCACCCCGCGACGAGATCGATACGACCGCAGAGGTACGGGACAAGGAAGAACTCCTCGGCTCCGTACGCCAACTGGCTCGCAAGCTGCAACAAGCATCCACGAAGCAGCAGAAGCTGGCCCAGGTAGCTCAAGAGGCCTATCACCTGAAGCAACTGGTGATACTGGTGACTCAGGAAATCGGAGCCAAGAAGGGTAAGGAGTTTGAACAATTCTTAGAGAAAGTGGAGCTCGCGCGGGTCGAGTTCGAGGCCAAGGCGAAGGAGGTGGGAGAACAGGAGGCCACCAATGCTGCCCTTGCGGCTGCAGATGGTCTGTCGTTCTACCTTGGAGGACTGAACGACAAGGCGGACCGCGTGTTTATTCACGAAACCATGAGACGCTACGGAAAGTCGAGGATTGTAGCCGATACGTTGAATATTGGAAGCGATACAGCCGTGATCCGGGTGAGACCGCACTTTGCAGTAAAGTTGCTGCCTGGTGAACGCGACAGCAGGAGGGACTGGCCGGTTGGACAACGTAAGTGTGTTATTTGGTGTATTGAGGGTGGATAAAAGACTGATTTATGTATTTATTGGCAGCGGATTATCTGCAATTCACACTGTACAAGCGGAATAAGGACACGTCGGCTGTGATAAACCAGCTCGCGTCCATGCTGAAGATCTCTCCGGCGTTGTTCTCCTATGCTGATGCTAAGGACAAGCGTGGAATTACCACGCAGCTTTGCACGGTGTATCGTATACCCAAGGATCGCGCCCAGGTGGTGTTCCGCCCAGGCGGTACGAAGAAGCTGGAAGATCAGCAGTATCTCGTGGGTGACTTGCGTTATGTGTCTCGGAAGCTCGAGCTGGGTGACTGTGCTGGTAACCGTATCGCAATGGTGATCCGCTCGTTACCTGTAGACGATAAGGAGTTGTCTGAGAAGGAGATCCACCTAGCAGTACGCAGCTGGGAGACGCGTGGCTTCATTAACTTTTACGGCCTCCACCGCTTTGGTAACGCCAGCACTTCGTACCACCTGCTTGGTCGTGCGATGCTGCGTAAGGACTATAAACTGGCGGTGTTGCTGTTGCTTCGCCCCCAGGAGGGCGAAGCTAGCAAGATTCGAGCAGCGAGGGAACACTTCCGCCAGCACAAGGATGTGGCTGCAGCTCTGCGTATGCTTCCGCCTTTTTTGGTGCCGGAGCGAGCGGTTCTCGAGGGTCTGCAGCAACATGGCATTGATGCACATGAGCTGGCGTTCAACAACATTCCGAAGCCTCTTCGCACATGTTACGTGGAGACGTACCAGGATTTCGTCTGGAATGAAATGGCGAGTATGCGCGTGTCCAAGTTCTCGTCTACGTCGGCTGTTGCCGGCGACCTTGTGCTTGTTAAAAATGACAATTCAAAGGTGTCGAAGAAGTCGAGTGAAGCAGCTGGGCCTGCGAGGAAACGCATGAGGACTGGGAAAACTACGAGGAGGCACGTGATCCCAGAAGTTATGGAACTTACAGAAACCAATGTGGACCAGTACTCGATCGAGGACGTTGTTCTACCGCTTCCTGGGCACGCTATTAAGTATCCTACCAACGAAGTTGGTGTTGCGTACCGAAAGATGCTCACGACGGACGGTATCGACCTGAACGCTCACTTTGGACCTGATGGCAGTCAGACGTATCTACTGGATGGATCATACCGCCACTTGGTGAAGAAACCCGCCCGCGTCTCCTTCCGATTGGAACGCTACGCTGACCCAACCAAGCCGTTGATCTCGAATGACGTTGACGCCTTACTCGTCCACTCTCCTGACGCGTCACCAGAAAACACGGAGGAGACCCCGTCAAAGGAGACAGAGCAGGCCTCACACCGCGCATTGGTTCTGGAATTCGATTTGGACTATGGTTCTGACGCGACGATCGCTATTCGCGAACTGATGAAGCAGAGCAGCAGTGCCCATGTAAATTGGCAGACTCCGAGTGTCGATGCAGCGAGTAGTGAAGCGACAAAGGCTGGAGGTGGCTCTGTTGCCGCAGACTCGACCAGTGGAGCTAAAGGTGGTGCATCGAGCTCGCAAGCGAAGAAAAGTGACTCGCGCAAGGTCATCAAAGCTCAGAAAAAGACGCAAGTGGCTATCGGCCGACCAGGCTTCAGCCTTGGAAGGTCATAAGGCGTCGATACTGATGATACTTGTGTGCTCAGCAACTGGAAATTGATAGGCAATAGATGGACATACGAGGTGCTGCAGTAAAAAGTTTGACAAGATTGAAGATGTACTTGACGTTAGTCGTCTATCTGCCTATCTAGCGTCTTCTCTGCGTCTAATAACCAAGTTCGGCGGCAATTTTCTTGGCCTCCTCCCAGAAAAGGAACGTGAAGATGGTGTGCGGACCGAGCCGCATGTAATGCGCCGCCCAGCCCTTGTAGAACCCTCTAACACCCTCGCTCTTCATAGTTTTCATGATGCAGTCCATCACGCCCGAGTACAATTTACCCTTGCCGTTCACCACCTTCTGGCTGTAAATCCTCGTAGATACCACATCCATCGGATTCATCGCCGTCGTCACCACAAGACCCGTCAAGATACTCGCTGTTGTATCAAGAACACCACTCAGTTCTCCATTGAAAACCTCTCAACTATCATAGCAAACTTACAGCCCAAGTGAACCTGCACACCGTCTTCAAAGCCTGCAGCAAGCACGAGTGTCTTCGCCTGTGTATACGTCGCCAGTTGTGTACCGGAACCGATCTGCACCAAGCAACCATCTAAATCAGTGCACCATCCTTCTACTTCAGCTAAAAACTCTCCGACGTACCGCAACACGCGGAATCGACGCTGTCGCGCCGCGGTACAGCCCCAACAGCCCGTCAGATCTGATAATCTGCCGGAATCCGTCCATCTACAGCAGCAACATAAATACCAATCAGACCACCACTCTCTTCCATCTCCTGTCTTCTTCGTACCATTCCGTTGTACGCATACTGCGCATTGATCTTTCCTGCCGAGCTGGCCGCTTGAATCCGTGCCTTGACCAGGAAGAAAGGACTGCCGATGAACGCACCAATCATTCCAGAGGTGGCCGCAGCACACACGTTACGTAGTGGGAAGGAATACGCCGTGGGGTCTGTGGCTCCAAACACCTTCTGTAATGGCTCGAACAGTCCCAGACGCGGTCCGTTCATGAAGATCTGGTACGAAATACCAGGACCAAGGCCGCGCTGGATTCCGCGTATACCTTCAGTGCGTCCGATGGTGTAGAAGGCGTGTACGAAGTTGCGGTACTGTACGACAGGTGCCGCACCGCGCGTCACGTTGTGTGCCAGCTCTCCTTGTAGCTGCATACGCGTCTTGACGACCTCCATCGGGTTGGATACTATGCAGGCGCCGCTCGTAGCCACACTGGCTAGCAGGAAGTCCATCACAATGCTCCGGTCCGCCATGGTCGCAGTCACTTGACCCCGACAAGGTCAGAACGGATGTGACGAGTTTTTTGCCGAGTTAAACGTAAGTTGTGTGGACCACATACGAGGATGATTGTGCAAACGGGCGATTCACTTTGTATTGGATGAACACCGCGTTCATCGAAAGACTTGAGTTCACTATGGCAAAGGAAAAGTTTGCTCGCACACACGTCGCAGGAAAAGGGCAACTTTGTGTTGAACATGGCGATCAACGTTTTACCCTTGCTCGCCGTCCTCGTCCTGCAGCTCAAGATGGATGTCGGCCTCGACGATGTACGGGATCGCTTCGATGGCTCTGTGGAAATTACAGTGAGTTACATGTATGTGCAAGAATGCGTTGATAACATAGCAACGTACTTCCTGGCTTTCTTCGCAACGCCGTGAGCTGCGCCAACCTTCAGATCCGGCTGAACAACGATGGCAACGTCGACGGCCGTGTGTCTGCCGCCTAGATGGGGCAACCAGTGTGTGTTGATGTGCGTCGTTCCAGTGATCTCCGGGATGGTGGCGAGCGCGTAGCTGATATCGTTCTTGATCTCTCTGTACGGGCGGAAGTTCTTCTTGTTCACTTCTCCTTCACTGAACGCAGAGCAGCTGAATTGGTCTACAACGCGCAGTGGTGGGAATTAAAACATTGGAAACTTCGGATTGATGTAGAAGCACGTTACCAAATTGGACGTCAATGTGCACCAGAACCTCGGACACGTCGGGGACCTCCTGCAAGATATGTGATCGTACTCGCTCCGAAATCTATAGCAGGTTACATGGTTAGTGCCGTGTTAATAGCAATGAGTGTGGAAGGAAGTGATTGCAAGTACCTGCTGAGCCATCGAAATACTCGTCCGGGCATGGAGCTGGATCCCAGTAACAGCAGTCAGGCCAAAAGTCACACATATTCGTAACAGACACGAATTAAACAACAGCGCCAACGTACGTGAACACGCAGGTCCACTAGTGTATACGGTCCCATTCGACGAGCGCGAACTTGTGATACGTGCAGTACATCATCCACACTGCCAGACTTTGGCGAACAAGGAGACGCAACGCGTTAGTGAGGCGCACAGAAGTATCCCCAAACAGCTATTCCAACATTAACGCACCACTTCTTCGAGCGTTTCGAGTACCTCCGCCTCGACGGTGTTGTCGGTTAGCTCTTGAACACTGCAATGGAGAAAAAATACTTAGTAGTATCCAGCATTTACTGCAAAGCTGTGCAGTTGAAGAAACATACCTGTCTAGGCAGATTTCACCTCCAGTCTTCACGATCATCGCAGCCACAGCCATACCAGCGACTGGTCGATCGCAATAATCAGTAAGACATCACCAACGCCCCGCAAAGTGTACACCCAGCGCACCTGGATCAAGAAGAGGCACCCCTGCCATCGAGCCAACAATACCACCAAGTGCCACAACGGAGGATATTGCATCCGTGCGATGGTGCCACGCATTTGCGATGAGCACCTTGCTATTTGCCTGCTTACCGATCTTCACCGTTGCGTGGTATAAAGCTTCCTTCGCTGCGATAGAGACGCCGGCAGCTCCCGCTGCAAATGCCCACTGAGTGCTTCGATCAATCTCTGTCGCAAAAAAAAAAAACGAATCAGCTACACTCGACATCTGCAAAATCAACCTCGACGAACCTGATAGGAATGGCAAGTTGAACTCTGGTAAACTCGTAGCACCAGCGCCATTCAAAATCTCCTGCAGTGCCTGAAACCCATCGGCGCCGATACCAAGTCCACACAATACCAGGATGGCCCCAACCGAGAGCGACCCAACTGCCTCGTACTTGCCATATCCTGTAAATCAACAGCACAGCGTTCTACAATCAAGTACTGACCACTGCAGAAACGTCCAAGAAACATCAAGTACCATATGGATGCTTCGGGTCAGGCGGAAGTCTCGCGACCTTGACACTCCAGAGCGTCACCACATCCGACAGCAAGTCGGACAGTGAGTGCGCCGCATCGGCGATCAATGCGCTGGAATGGATCGCCAACCCCACAGCGCCCTAACAAAATAAAGAACAAGGTGATAGGAACTGGATTGTCAGCGGAATTCTCTGTAATTCGCGGACTGAATCTGGACTTGTGCGCACCTTGGTCGCCGCCATGGCCACGTTCACATACATACCGACGCGCGTGATCTTCATAGCCTCGTCACCCTGGCTGAACCTCGGTATTAATGACGCTTTGGCTTCCTCCACTTCATCTTGAACACGATTGCTCCGGCCAATTGGCTCAGAGCTGAAAGCGGCCAGCTGCTTTGACAGTCGGAAGTCTAATCGCTGCCGTCGCAATTGCCTCGCTGGGGAGACGGATTTGGCACCTGGCGAGCGATGACAGGCGGAGCGGGGCGTGAGCGACGCGAAGACGCTGTTGCCGGAACGCACCCGCCACATCTGAAAGTGTCAATTTGACATGTCAAACGAGAAGTAAACCCCTTCCAAACCGATTTGTTATCCGGACAGAACATCCGGATAAAAATGAGAACTTGAGTACTTGTCTATTTATGAAAATATAACCATTATTAATAACAATGCTTTAAGAAAAACACAATAGATCCGATTTTAATAGATGGTCCTGCCCATTAGAGAGCTTCAAGTGACTTGGTTTCACTAAGTGGTTTAACCTTGTAATGCAAAACTAGTCTTTCATTGACCAAATGAACCGGCCCCGAAATGGTATCTTACCACAAATACTCCTAAGATAGAAGTCCAACGTCTTTGAAGTTATATTACACGCTATTGTGCACACGTTGAAAGATACGCTCCTTCCCAGCGTCATCTTTCCGAGTATGACAGCTTCCGAGTAAGCTTTCAGCCACCAGGAAAGGAAAGGCAACCGATTCAATCAGATTTATCCAAAATCTGCCATTTTAGCAAAACATAGACGTTCGGTAGGCGTGTGTTCGACGTTTGGAAACATGCTAACGTCCAATGCTGGACTAACGGTAGCGAACACGGGATTCAACAACAGCAACTTCACGACCATCATTCTGTACAAAATAGATCAGACAGATTAGTGTACATGTACACAACGACTCCCTTTGTCACGTGGTGGAATTTCCTGTGGTAAGGTCATTCCACGGCTAGAATAACCTCACAATGCCGCTGCATTGTGCTGGTTACTGACGCGCGACGATACTCGCGTGGGCATCGCAAATTCGTTGTGTACGATGCCGCCTCGCGCGTTGCAGCATGCAAAGTCTCCGTTGCTCTTACGAACAGCTGCTCACAGTATTTTTATGGTACATGATGCCGCTGATCCGACGGCAAAAGGAACGGATGGGTTCAGAGCGATACGTCCACGCACGCAACAGCTTTGCATCCTCGTTCGAAAGATGTCGAGCAGCGATAGAAGCGCAGCAGAAACATCCACGGCGCCGTTTTAGGCCTCACCGAAGAATTACTCGCCGCGACTAAGAGCCGCCACTTGACGGAAAACCGTCGAGCCTCCGAGGTTCTGGCGCCGCGTTTCATCCGGTGCTCAGCAAAAGCAGCGTCAGCGCCGTTGGCAACGTGTTCGGCTGCGACAGCTCAAAATAGAGACGACTCGTCGAGAATCCAGGTCGTCGCGGATTGGCTAGAGGAAGTGTACGTCCGTCACGCTCGTCACGCTCGGTTACAAAGCAAGGAATGGACTGTCGCTGCACTAGCCAGTTGTGTCCTAAGTTGGTACTATTCGATAATGTAGTTTAGTTAGAATACGCTGCACCGCAAGAATTTTACAGGCTGCCTGGTTCTCCAGCTAGTACTTGCAACAGCTAGCAAAGTTGGATGGCAATTTCCTCTATAGCCACCCCAGGTAATCGTCTCTCTTTCAATTGCAGTGGAATCTGTTCCCCTGCATTAGGCCACATCCCACTTTTTTTTCGCAAAGTGATTCTGCTAACGTTGCACGCGCTTTTGGCATACTTTAATCCAGTGTGATCCACTTGTGTCGTCGGGAGTACCACCCTCTGTCAAAAGTGCAAGATCGTCGCGGCTAGGGCTTTCCGCTCCTCCCTGTCGCTCCGGATGCTGGCCTCCCCCCTCTCTCCCCGGAAGCTCCCCCGCCCACCATCAAATCAGCGCAGTAGACAAACAGACAGCTCGCGCGCAAGTCGAAAGAGGGAAGAAGCGCAGGAAGGAGCATCGACGGACACGCGCGTTTGAACGTTCAAATCAGAGAGGAAGGTCGACTTCCCTCCCTCACGTGTATTGATTGACACAGTAGCATGGCCACCCCGAAGATGGAGGAGAACAACACAGTACGTTTATCTACACCAAGAGTGATGGTCCTGTGTGCGCAATAATGGCTAATTTTCTTGATCCTACTTCAGCTCGGCCGCCAGCTCTCCGCAGCGAACGAGGAAGCCTGGCTGTCCCTGGGCCGTATCGCTGAGATGATGGGCGACGATGAGAACACGATGCTGGCCTACGAGAAGGTGTTATCGCACAACCGCCTGAACGCCACGGCGCTGTTCGCTATCGGCTGCTGCTACGAGAAGGTGGAGGACTACACCAAGGCCGCCGACTGCTTCCGTGGCCTCGTATCGCTCAATGAGCAGAATTCCGATGCCTGGGGCCACCTCGGTTACTGCTGCCTCATGATGAACGACCTCACGAGCGCACACACTGCCTATCAATACGCAATGTACAACAACCCCATGAGTCAGAAGGACCCCAACATGTGGTACGGCATCGGTCAGCTCTACGAACGCCTTGGATCTCTCGAGCACGCCCAAGAGTCCTTTGAGGCCGTGCTACGCTTCGAGCCCAACTTTAACATGGCTCTGGAGGTCAAATTCCGCCTCGGAATCATCGCCAAGCAGCGCGGAGACTACGATGGAGCTCTGGAACGACTCAAGTCGGTGCTGCATGATGTCCAAGCCAACGTGCAGACCACCGAGATGGCCAGCGATATTTGGACGCAAATCGGACACGTGTACGAGCTCAAGGACGAGATCCAGCTGGCCAAGTCCAGCTACCTTAAGGTGGCGGAACTCAACCCAAACAACGCCAAGCCGCTACAGCAACTCGGCTGGCTCTGCCTCAAGCACAGCGAGCACCCGCCCGCTATTGATTACCTAAAGAAAGCCGTGGCTATCGATCCGCAGGATGGCAAGGGATGGTACCTTTTGGGTCGATGCTACATGGCCGTGCAGGAGTTCGAGGAGGCCTACGACTCATACAAACACGCTGTGACTACGGACTCGCAGAACCCGAACGTATGGTGCTCACTTGGCGTGCTTTTCTACCAATTGAACCAGCACCTGGACGCTCTGGACGCGTACTCGCGCGCTATCAACATCAACCCCAACATTTGTGAGGTCTGGTACAACGTCGGAACGCTGTATGACACTTGCAACCAAACCAGTGACGCTCGCGACGCCTACCAAAAGGCTGCTGAGCTCGGCGCGGACGCACAGTTTATTCGTGAGCGATTGGAGCTCCTTCGCGTCCGAGAAACAGGCCAGTCCACTATTGGCATGGCCGGTGCCAACTCGGCTCCTGGTCCTTCGGAGCCTCCCACAACGTCCCCGATGCCGACGTTCTCGTCTAGACCCACGGCCGATACACAGTACCAAGCACAGCAGCAGGGCGCTCCTGCACAAGGAGCCCAGCCCAATGGTGCTCCTCCTGTAAGTCAGGGTGCTCCGATGGCCCACATGCTCCGTGCAGGTGAAGCCCCCATGAGCATGAGTATGGGCAGTGCTCCGACGACGAACTCGATGAGTGTTAGTGGCCCGGAGACCAGCAGCGGCATGGCACGTGGAATGCCTGTCGGTAGTGCTGGGATGAACATGATGCGGGGTATGGGTCGGAGCGCCCCGATGAACGGCGGTGGGATGATGCCTCGTGGTGTCATGGGCGGTATGGTGCCTGGTATGCAGCACCCCCAGCAAGCTCAACAGATGCAGTCGCAGCACCCGCAGGCTCAAGCGCACGCACAAGCTCAAGCCCAGGCGCATGCCCATGCTCAAGCTCAAGCACAAGCGGCGCAGGCGGCACAGGCTCACCACCACGCACAGATGCAGGCGCAGATGCAAGCTCAACAGCAGCAGCACGCACAAGCTGTGCACATGCAGCAGGATGGCCGTCGAGGAATGCCCGGTCGGCCTATTAAGGAGGAGAACAAGGTCGGTGGCATGCGCTACGCTATGGACGGTGGAGACCGCAAGCTGCAGGCACCGCCGCAACGTCTGGCTGGACTGAACCCGAAGAATTTGGGCGGTCCTGCTGGTGTCCCGCAAGGCGGGCGTCGCGATCGCTTCCCGATCCCCATGACCGACCCGAAGCAGCACCAGCATCCGTCGCTACAGCCGCCCCCAGGCAGACGGTGAAGTGAGCGCTAGTGCTGGCCGCCTCTTCTTCATCTTTTTTGCGTATTGGAGCTCTCGAGCCCAACAAGTAGGCAAAGGTAGGCTAGTTTAGTTTAGCGTGTGTGTTGGAGAAAGTATCAAGAGACCCAACCTGATGAAAACAAAGAGTGACATGAAAACTGTAAGAAGAGTGTTTGCAGTTGGCGAAAAAAATCTATTAGGAAAGCTCGAAGCGGCTGGAGTAGAAGCGCTCTACTTCTTCTTGGGTTGACGCTGGCGAATGACTTGGCCCTTGGGGGCCTTAGCACCAGGCCGAATAAAGCGGTTCTTCTTGTCTGAAGCTGCCACTTCCGACGGCTTCTGGACAGCAGTAGTCTTCGTCTCAGTGACCTTGTGTTTCTTGTTCTTCGGTTCCTTCTTCTTGTCCGGGAACATGTACGCGTCGGGCTCCTCGCCAACTTCCTGACGATAATACTCCACGTCGTCCAGTTCCGAATCGTCGTCATTGCCGCCAGACTTCGCAGTGGTCTCATCATACTCGTCGTCCTCGCCCTGCTCGCGTTTGCGCTTACGTTCAGCCTTGCGCTGCTTCTTGGCTTCCTTAGCCTCCTGCTTCTTAGCGACGTTCGCCTCCTGTTCTTCACGGCGTTGACGCTTGAGTGCCAGAGCGGCTTCGTGTTTTGCCTTGGCCTTGGCAGACTCCTCGGGGGTCTTGGTCTTGTACGCGTGATACAGCACATCACCCTCGCAAATGCCGCGCTCCACCTTAGTCAAGCTGAGTGTGAGACGCGGTCCGATCTCCGTCAGTCGCACAGCACTCTTCTCTGCCTTGCGGTTGCCACGTCCACGGAACGAATCCGGCAGCGTCACGTGCGAGGCTTCATCGTCCACCTCACTGTCTGAAGCTGAGCCAATACCAGCGCCGTTACCGAGCACGTACTCGCTGATGTCCTCCAGCTTGTTGAGGTTGGGAACCTTGGCCTTCACGATGGTCTTAACAGGCTTGGAGAGGCCCAACGGCGCCGCACGGATCACGTACTGACGGAATTCGACTGTGTCTGTCTCCTTCTCGTAGTTAAACAACACCACACGTCTGCACTCGGATAGCGCTACAGTCTGGACGTCAATAGCAGGGAACATGTTCTGGAATGTCACGTTCATCAGCTTGATGTGGTCGTCGGGAGCCGTGAAGTTGTTGAGCACTACTAAAGGCTTCGACTTGAGCGCCTGCGACGCATCTACAGGGCGCTTTACCACTAGATGCATCTGCCTCATGAGCGAGTACTTGGTCACTTTGAACGACAAGGTCGGGCCACGCGGGATACGTGCGATCTTGAGGTTCGTACCAGCCTCCGTGTTGGTGAAGAAGATGAAGTGTGTCACACCCAGAGGCGCACCCACGTGCACAAAGTCCTTCAGCGTGTTCTTGCGCTTCTCACGCAAATTGTCGGCAGTGTACGGGGCCATGACGCGACGCATATCCTGCACGAGGCTGCTCACGACGCCAGGTACTTTGCCCATCTTGAAGACGAAGCTCATGGGCGTGTCATCTTTCTCCACACTCGGGGCTTCCACCACGTGCGTGCGGGTTTTCCTCTGCAATAATTACAATTGAATAAAAGTTAGAGTCCCGGTAGATAGAGCTATTGAACCTCGTAGCGCAAAGTTGCTGTTTAATGAATAAATAGAGCAGAGAGTGCGTGAGACGTGGATACGTACGCGTTTGCCTCCTTTACGCGGCATGGCAAGTTATATGCTGCAATACACAGGAGAACAGCTCCAAGCGACTTCCTGGATGGTCAATTGACTATGGCTGGTGGTGGCAGCAGATAAAATTTATGTAGAACACATATGTTTGGGGAATATTTTAACGCACGTTAAAATAAAAACATGTTAAAACGTTGTCATGTCCGGTCTGATTCTGATGCGATTAAAAATCCTTTTTTTTTTAAATTGGGATTAAAAAAATCCCAGTTGTTAAGCAAGATCATTGTACCCATGCGATTTGCATACAAAACTGGATGAATTTTGTGGAATTTTGAGAAAAGGTATCCATCCAATTCTGGGTGAATTGCAGAATTTATTGTCGAAGGCTAGTTTTGTATTACGACCAATAAATTCTGTCAATTCACCCAGAATTGGATGAATACACTTTTCAAAATCCTACATTTTGATGCAAAAATGTGGGTTTTGAAAATATTATCCAATTCTGTTCCGCATCCCATTTATCCCAGACCCAATCCTGACTTCCTCCAGAGTCTTGGTGGTTCCAACGATGCGTTCAAGTAGCTCATGTTGGAGCGAAACTTTCCAAGACAACAAGGAAAACAAATTGTCGGGAGAGCGGAAGCCTTACCGGCGAATTCGAAGTCGTCGTGAGCTGCTGGAGACGAGAGTGATGTTCCCGGATGAATTTATGCGCTCAATGAAGAATTACGGGCCCAATGGACCTATGAACATTGGCGAGAAGTTGAAACCCATCGCCCTTGTGCTGCGCCCACGCGAGTCGCGCCGTAGATACGAGGAGAACTTCCAGTGCTGGTTACAGTGTAAACAACTATCTCTTACAATGCTTAAGGATGATCCTGAAGAAGAGCGTCGCTACCGACAAGCCTTCGCGTTCCTTCGAGCGACTACAGCGATACACAAGCACTGGGACCGTTCACGTTCACGCAGTCGGAGTCGAAGTCGAGGCAGGACCAAGAAAAGGAGTGCAGCAAGAGAATCTCCTGCAGATAATAAGGAAGCGAAGCGAGCACGTGTCGACTCTATCGATCATGACACCTTATCTGCGTCGTTGCACGACAATGCAAAACATGTTGGAGGCAGCTCTCGCACAAGTGGTGAACAGGATCATGTCTCCGGAATGAATTTACACTTGAAGCAACTACAAGACCAGATGCAGCACCGCTTCATGGAGTTTGAACGAGAGTTAAAACACTTGAAAAGCCAAGGCCAAGTCGGAAATGAGAGTACGAGCGTATTATCGACGACCGCTACTGTTATTCAACTGCCGGAACCAACCCAAGATGATAACTCTGGATCAGTGGATGTGATACCAGACGTATTAACTGGACCAGACCACTATATCTGCTCAGACCCCATTCGAATGGCAACGGAAGTGTCGAAGAAAGCGGCAAAAGTAAATGCAGACCCAGCGAAGGAGTGCCTGACGAGAGATTACACCCGCTTGAGCACTCAGATCGTTATGAATGAGACTGCTATGAAGGACTCGTTGGCGTACGTTAAGAATCTCGGTGCTGACGAAGCCGAGGTAGAAGCGCATTTGACTCAAATCACGGAACTGGCGACGTGTATTGACAGCGAGAAACAGCGACGTGATACTGCGCTAGCTGCTGTAATTGCGCAGGAATGGAAAGAGCAACGAGATGAATTTCAGTACATCGTGCAACAAGTGGATCAGACAGATACTATGCATGCTTCGCACGAGAAATTGACAAGGACGTACAGCGATATTAGTCAAAACGATGTCGAGATGCTGGCGCTGCAAGCAAAACTCAAGAACCGTTTAAGCTTGCTAAGAGGTAGTGATGTCTACCAAGACACTCAGCTCCAGGAGCTGGAAATGCTATCGAGCAGACTGGCAGCAACACTATCAGAGAGATCTTTGCTAGAAGACCAACGACAACAGCTATGCATGGGGTTGGTGCGCTCTAGCGACGCAATCTTCAAGCTGACAATGGAGTTGATCGAAGAATCACCCCTTTGGTTGCCGTGAATTGGGAAAGCCATCAGAAAAAAACTCGGTTATGCTTCATGCACTGCCTTTCGTTGTTGGATATTTCGTCAAAAATCTACGAGTTTGTTTACGTTCTGTGGCTGTACGATGCCTTGCTACCTTGCTTCGGTAGATGTGGAGCTGTTTCTGGTTATTTCAGCTTCTGCTCTCGGTCGCATTATTAGCAGTGTATGGATCTTCAGCCACATACTTACTCGCCTTTGGGAATTGCCATGTGTCTAGTGAGTTGGTCAAACGGGGGAAACCGAACTGATCTTGCTGCGGAGCTGCGAGTCTACCTCTTTGTAACCTGCTGCATTGAAGTGAACGCCATCTGCCAACATGGTGTTTCGAGTCTCTACTGGCATGGCGTTGAAATGCTCGTACAAGTCTAGCACAGACACTTTGAGCTCGCTGGCGACCTCTACACAAGCGCGGGCGTAGTCGCCCGTTGCTGCGTTCGAACGATCCACGAGTCCTCGTTTCGCATCGGTACGTTCGGCAGCGCACTTGGCTCTGGCATCGTCGTCGATGTGCGGTGGAGTGATGATCAAGATTTCAGCATCAGGGGCAGCGCTCTGGAACCCACGGACAATCTGGTTCAAGTAGTCCTTGTACTCTTCGATTGGAACGTGCATCTCGGGGTTACTGCCATTCACCAGCACTGCATCGTTGGTGCCGAGCCAAATTGTGATCAATGATGGAGTAGTGTATGCACCAGTGGCGATTTCGTTTTCGAGCGTGGGCATCACGTATTTGAGGAACCATTTCGCGTTGTACCCCGAGAGCCCGCGAAGGATAATATCAGCTGACCGCGTGTATCGAGCTTGGAGTAGTGAGACCCAGCCGTCTAAGTTTGGGTAGGCGCCTTGCTCCGTGTGTGAGTCTCCCGTGAGCAAGAGTAAAGAACGTGAGGCTGGCTGGGTTTCCGTAGTAACCGTGATGGTAGGCTGTGACTCTACCGGTAGAGCGAAGGCAGTTGCGAGCGCGAAGAGAATTACTAGCCCGTGAAACGTTCCTGGAGAGATTGTCATGGTGTTGGCGGCAAATTGGGTTGTGAGAGAGTTGCTAAATCAAACGACTCGTTGATGGATTGCGTATGTGATGGTGTGAACAGCTTACGATGGACTGGGGCGAACAATAGCGACCAACAATGGTGTCCGGATGTCGGTAATTACTCAACGCGGATCATGTCGAGTGGTTCAGTGATCGCGCTTTAGACTCAAGTAGCAGCAGATTCATGTGCGGACTCTCGCGTCGTTTGCAAGCTTCGAATCATAGAATTTAATTGCGTCACTAGGATAGGGTCAACCAGCATCGATGGCGTTTTGTTAAGTTTCAACAAGAACAATTTAGTAAACATCCCGCACAGTAGAACTCGGTCATTCTGGATAACCGCTACGTATTTTCTGTCCACAGTCTGTGTATGGCAATCATTGATCGCGAATTTCTTGTCGATTTGACTAACCTGAATCAAGTAAAGAGACTCTCGCATGTACGTACTTGTTGGATTATTAAATAGGAACTGTAATCCTTGATCGCGAATAATAAGTACGTAAGCTTACAGCTTGCTAGAAATATTTTGTTTTGCAACTTTTCGCCACTTTCAATATTAATTCGTACTTGCGACTTGCCGAGTACTACAGTAAACAGGCATAAATCGTACTCAAGTACGATTTACTACAATTCGTGCAGCGTCAAATATGCTTAAGCATCGATTTGGCACTTTCTAAAAGTGTCATTTCTGCCGAACCCGGCTGGAAGGAAGCACGATTTGCCGTTCAGAGCCTCAATGATTTAAGTACAGCCCTAATTAGTGCACTAATTAGAGCGATTCCCAAAGCTCGTTTAGAATCCTAAATCCGTCCTCATCATGTTCAAAAGAAAAATTCTGAAAGAGGGGGTACCCCCCTTTCAGATTCCAAGTGTGACCACAAACAAATTTTGTTTGGAAGCAGAGAGTTCCAGCACATAACTACTAGTAATAACACACACAAATCCAACGCTTTTTGCTTTTGCGACACAGTTTTGAGTCAATTTTGGATGGTCCGAATTGTTGAACATCTCGGAAAATACCGGCAATCCGTCTGGTGAGTACATAATCGATGACCCTTGATATCCGGCAAATTCAAGGCAATTAGGAATCTAACGGTTTCAAATGGTTGCAGGAATTAGTGGAAAAAAAAAAGGCAAGGCACAATATTATATGCACCGTAACCTAGTTACCACTTTTATATATAAAAAATGCAAACCATCATGCAAGTTACAACACTGTCGCTCCTCTAGAGCTCTTCCGGCGTTGTATTTGTTTACCGTATCGATCAACTGCGCGAACAAAGCACAATTTTCACGCACGCATTAGCAATTCATTTAGAGTAATCTTTTTCTAACCTTTCCGATCTATTTGGGGCAAAGCCCCCCTATAATGTAACGTTCTCTTA